ATGGATCCCTCACCCCACAGTATTGAGACAATCTGGGCAAACTGTAAGTCTCAGCACCTCCGGGTGCTACATATCTAGAGAGGATGGTTAATAAGTAGAACCCAAAATGTGATTACAGAAATAGAAAAGTAGAAGAAACTATTTCATTAAGTCTCATTTAATGGAAATGTTCAAAGATTTGATCCAGTTCACTGACTTATCTAAATAAAAGAACATGTGCCAGAGAAGAAAAACAAAGCTTACACACCGTCCATAGGGAAGGAAATAAACAGCCCACAGTCTCTGGGACTCAACAGTATCTTACCTAAAGTCAGAGCCTCAATAAAAACTTACAGCCACAAAGAGCTGATCCTCAGAGGCTACAAAAACAGGACTTGGTGATAAGGACCACTCAGATTCCAAGTCTGACCTGTTATTGATTAAGGATTTTCTTCTACCTATTCCCCCAAAAAGATCAGACACAGATATTCAGTAGACTCATTTAAATAAGAATATGAGAATCAGAGGAGTATAATGAAGATGAGGCAGTAGCTGGGATCTGCTGCAACCGAAAATAAAACTCAGTTCTGGGCAACCAGCTTAAGGCAAAAAAGCAAACTTGCGGATGATCATTAGGCAGAGGAAGACTCGTGATCAACCAGGAAAGGCAAATTTCTTAGAACTAATCTTGAAATCTTATGATCAGAATCTGATTCTGAGGATTTATGCTTCTTATTCCCTATCCCTTCTTTAACTCCTAAGTTAAGCTTTGGTGATTTTCCTTCTCACAACTTTGCCAATTACAAACTGCATGACCCAGAGTCAATGCTTCACCTCTCTAAATTTCAATTTTCTCAACCCTAAATAGGGTTAGCATATATTCTCTATATGCTAACCCTATTTGAGAAAGAAAATGAAGGACACAGCATCATTCTCCAACATTAACTGGATGCTTACTAAGCATCAAAAGCTTCATGTACATTATCACACTGAAAGCTCCCAAAACTATATAAAGCAAATCCATTAATTTTTATTTTATAGATAAGCTCTGTGAAATTCTAAGAGGCAAAGACAGTTGCCACTTTCACTCAGGTAAAAAGCAGAAGAGGTGAAACTCAATTTCATGTTTATGTGACGCTGAGGCATAATTTAACCAGTATACTTTTCTGCTTCCCTGTATATGTCAAGTACCTAAAAGGTCTTGGCAGAGTGTAGGTGCTCAACATATTAGTTTTGTGACTCGCTCATTTCTCTTCTTCTAAAATTACATATAAACAGAAATTAAGTTTACTAAAATAAGATTATTGGGCTGGGACTTAGCTCAGTGGTAGAGCATTTGCCTAGCATGTGTGAGGCACTAAGTTCGATCTTCAGTCCCACATAAAAATAGATAAAATGAAGAAGGTATTCTGTCCACCCACAACTAAAAAAAATTTAAAATTTTAAAATTCTTATTAGCATCTTATAGTTAGGTAGTTTAAAGAAATCATACTACTTTATTTTCTCTATTGATCTCTATCCATCATTGTGCACTATATCAACTACTTTACAAATAAGGAACTAAAAGGCAGCGAGCTGCTAAGTGATGTGGCCAGAGACATATGGAAGTCACTGCCAAAACCTAATAAAAACCTCAGTCCTCTTACTTCTAAAATCAACTTTTTCCCCTCACATGTCATGACCACTATAATAAAGAACAGATCATTCATTTTTTATCTGGAAAAGTACCAAACACATAATTCAGTATGGGGCCTCATGACCCTACCACCTTGTCAAAGGGAACAAAGTATATAAAAAATGAGGTTTGCAGGAGCAGACGGTTTTGGTCCATCAACTTTCTCTTGGATTACACCCATTAACCAAAATAAAATAATGTAAAAAATAATGTAACAGATCCCCATGTCTTTGGAAATTCACATTAAACTCACTGATCCTTCAAACTTATGTATAACCCACGAAGGGCAATTGTTAAGTCCTTTGGGGCTGCAAAGGTACATTATGTCAACCCAGTCTTTGAAAGAAAAATACGACATGTGATTGAGCTACCCTAAAAGAATCCAAGTCAGCAATGAATATTTGGCAACACAAATTCATAGCATCACAGAAGGGACCTGGCAGACCTGAGAAAGACCCTTTCACATGGTATATGAGGAAACCGAGTCTCAGGGAAGTAAAGTGACTTGTCCAAGATTTCACAGACAGTAGAATAAGAACCAGAAAATTAAACTGATGACTATAATGTATATCACTTGTAAATCTTGGATAATCCAAGAATACCCTTAGAACTTTCCAGAATTACTCATCCACATAGAGAGTAAAAGAGAAACTCAGGATTCAAATCCTGACTGCCATTTATTGGCCATATGATCTTAGACAGTCCTTTAGTTTGTCTATAAACTGGGTCACAGTAAGTTTCACAAGTAAGCTGGAGATAATATAAACGAGAGGCCTGGCACACAACGTGTGAGCTCTGAGAAGGAGAACATCAAGTTTGTATATTCCCAGCAGAGTTAGGTACCCACTCTATGAAGGCTCACTGAACAAATCGCCAAGAAAACAGGTATTGGACTTGAAACAGGTCAATATATAGCTTTTAAATACCAGGTTATATTGCTTTCAATTTGCATGATTTCAAAGCTGAGTGTTGATTCAGCCTTACTGAGTACTGAGAATATAAGAAAACAAAATAGCCATTTTCTGGCCATAACACATGAAAGTTCAGCAGGAAAGTTTCTGGTCTCTCAACATTGGGATTAATTCTTGTTGCTATAATGAGGCTTTGGAATTACCTAAAATTAGACTTAGGTCTCAGCTCTAGTATGAGCTAAATGGCTTCAAAGATTATTACTTTACCTCTCTGAGCCTAAATTTCCATAGCTGGAGGAAAAAAACCTACTTTACAGGGATTATATGATAAATGAGGCAAAATACCATATTTCACTGCATAATTGTTGCAGGTTTGTTTTATGTCCACTTTTTTTTTTTTTTCTTTTGCAAAAAAGTAGGATGTGGGGGCTGGGGATGTGGCTCAAGCGGTAGCGTGCTTGCCTGGCATGCGTGCGGCCCGGGTTCGATCCTCCAGCACCACATACAAACAAAGATGTTGTGTCCGCCAATAACTAAAAAATAAATAAATATTAAAAAAAAAAGTAGGATGTGACCATTATGTGAAGCTTTTAAAAAAAATTTGTGCCGATATTACTTTAAAATCCTTTAAACTGTCTTTGATGAAAGATTAAGATGCACAGAACACTTGTGAATATATGTTAACACAGTGGCGGCAATTATGCAGTGAAATATATAAAAGAACACAGGATGATGTGTAGCTCAGAAGGAAATCTGACTAGAGTTATACTTCATTTCCCTTTTAGTTCTCTGGAAGCTTCATTCACTCATTTGCTTTACATTCATTCAAATGTCACTTCCTTCCCAACCCTCTCCATCTATAACAAAGCCCCCCAATAGATCTCCTTACCTTCTCTGTTTTTCTTCATGGTCCTAATGATCACTTGACATTACATTATGCATTTATTTTTCTGTGCATTGTGCCAATTCAACCATCAGGTAAGCAGGAACCTTTTGTTTCAACAACTAGGAAGGTTCCTGGCATGAAGTTAGAGCTTAAAAAAATACTGTTGAATTACTGAACAAATAATTTAATAAGTATGTGAGGCACCATGTAGAAGGGGCACTTAAATCTGCTATGGAATCTGACACTATGTGTCACCTGGACTGTTGCAGCTGCCTCTAACTGTTCTGTCTACTGTCCCTTACATTCCATTTGTTATCCAGTAGCCAGACAGACCCTCACAAATCCACATCAGATCAATCCTTTGATTCAATCCCTCCAGTGGCTTTCCATCACAACTGGAATAAAGTCCTAACTCTGTTCCATAGCCTATCAAGCCTAGACCATCAGCTCTCCTGACTAGTCAACCTCTTCTCTTAACACTCTCCAGAGCATCAGATATACTAGCTTTTCTCTTTCTTGAATATGCCAAGATATTGTCTTTTTAAAAATTTTTTTTGGTTGTAGATGAACACAATACCTTTATTTTATTTATTTATTTTATGTGGTGCTGAGGATCGAATCCAGTGCCTCACATGTGCTGGGCAAGTGCTCTACCACTGAGCCACAATCCCAACCACTTTTTTAACTTATAAATAAACAGACATTTTTATTCATTTAAAACTTTAAGTACTATATATTTGTAATTAACAATATTCTGTTCTTATATCTAAAATTCTTCAACTAGCAAAGACAATGTAAAAATAGCTCTTCAAGGAATATGAATTAGAGATTATAAGTGTCAAGGCCTTTAAGGCCTTTGTGCTTGCTGTTCACTCTGTCTGGAAGGCTTTTTCCCTAGGCTGATGGTGTTCTTCCTCAACATTTAGCTCTCAGCAGAAATGTTACCTTCTAGCCAACCATGGTGGCACATGTCTGTAATCCCAGCAACTCAGGAGGTTGAGGGAGGAGGACTGTAAGTTCAAAGCCAGCCTTGGTAACTTAGTAAGACCCTAAGCAACTTAGTGAAACCCTGTCTCAAAAAATAAAAAAAGCTGGCTCAGTGGGTTCAATCCCCAGTTACCGCCCCGCCACAGGAAAAAAAAAAAAAAAAAAAAAAGTAGGTTACCTCCTTCTAGAGTCCTCCCAGGTAAAAGCTGCCCCAACCACTATCACCCTCATCAAGTCACTCTCTGTTGGATACCAACAGCATTTCATCACCTGGAAATGACTTTATCTATTTATTTGTCCTAAGTTTCTAACCAGAATATAAACTACATGGGGACAGATATTTCTCAAGCTTACTGACTACTTCACACTCAAGCATCTAGCACTAAATAAGCACTCAAAAAATAATTCTGAATCAGTAAACTGGATCTGAAAAGATGTTTGCTAGGATGAAAGGTGTAGGTAAGGTATGTTATTGGCCTAACAGTATAGTAGGGCACTGGTTTCCTTCTAAGGGATGATCACCCCTATTTCATTGAATTTCCTGAATTTCAGCCACACTTACATGGGAATAGGTACCCGAATTAGTGTCCCTTCCACTTCTGGGTTCAGATTCATTCCACTTTCTCTTATAGCCTTGATAGCTGCAGCTGTACACTGAAAACCAGATCAAAAGGTAAACAGAATTAGTAAATAATTATTACCAGATGCAAGCCCTCTGCCGATAACTGGCAACCCATCTTGGCAGAACATGGAAACATTTAGTTCTGTTACCAGTAAGATCAGGAAGTTACATTGGTGTAGAGTGCTTTGATCAAGCTGAATAGCAAACTATGTCCACTCCTGGTACCAGTGTACTGTGGAAGGAAAAAAAGAAAGAGAAGAAAAAAATAAAAGGAAAACAGCTCTGCTTCTTTGAAAAGATTTCAATGGTTTGAGGCAACACAGATCAAAACCACAATAAATCCTCAAGGGAGGAGGGCTGGTCTGTGCAAAGATTGGTGTAAAGACAGATGAAAGATTTCATACGTTAAAAATTCCAGTTGACATTTTACACTCAAAATATACCAGTGCCGATTTGGAAGGAGTAAATAAATTTAACTCATTCGCATCTACACTCACACCAAATTTATTCATGTTTTGAATGAGCAATGAATCTTAGCTAGTGTGTGCTCCAGAAAAGGTAGTATGGTACAATCACTGAAATAATGAGCTCTGGTGTCAGAAAGATCTTAGTTCAATATCCCCAAGCTCTACCCACTCTGATAACCATATGACCCTGAGCAATAAGCGTACCCTCTTTGAGTTGTCATTTCATAATCTGAGATAATACGACATATAAACCTCAGAGTAGTTAGATAACATGAGCAATGCATGTTGCTCTGTGCCTGATACAAAGTAACACCCACTTAAGGGCAGATATTATATAAATATGTTATATACACTTATTAAGAATGCATTAAGCTGAGCGTGATTGTTTATACTTATAATCTCAGCTACTTGCGAAGCGGTGTTAAAGCCAGAGTGGGCAACTCATCAAGACCCCATCTCAAAATATAAAATAAAAAGGGCTGAGATGTGGTTCAGAAGCAAGTTTCATCCCTAGTACTGGGCGGGGGGGGGGGAATCCATAAAACCCCCAAACAAGGTGAGTTAATGCCATCATCTAGCATGTGTGTATTACACCCCCTTCTCCACATCTTTTAGGGCTTCCTTCAGGTTTGCCCTGAAATGCTAGTTGGCATACTAGATACTGATTTCCTGAAGTGCCCCACCTCATACTCAAACATTGTAACTATACCTGGTATTCAATTCTAAAGGATAACAAGAAAACAGAGTGAGAGAGAGATACTGCCTTTGGCATGTCAATGTGGAATTCATAAAAACAAAGTGTCTGACATTTTCAAAAAAATTTTAGGTTTGATGAGAGCCAATCCACATCATTGGGTTTACAGGCTAATTCTTGACTTTTGAGTTCCTTCCTAGACTTTGTGGTTTAAACGAATACTTTATTTTTTTAGGTGTTTTGTTGTTTTCATTTTGGAAGATATGCCTCTTAAAAAGCTCACCCATTTCATTTTTGTTGTTACTACTGAGAAGGGGTCTTGCTATATTGCCCATGCTATTCTCAAACTCAAGTGATCCTCCTGCCTCAGCCTCCCAAGTAGCTGGGACTATAGGCAAATGCCTGGTTTCATTTCATTTTTATTTTATGTATGTATGTATGTTCATTCTGCAGTGACAGGAATTGAACCCAGGGCTTTGTGTACACTAGGCAAGCACTCTATCAGAGCTACACCCCCAGTCTTTCATTTAATTTTTAAATGACCTTAATTTGACACTATACAGTTATTACCACAAGATCAAGAAGACAAACCAGAACTTCCACATATAAATGGATGAATTATCCCCTAAGGAGGCTGTACATGGAGTCTAAGTGTATACAACATAAGTATACAAAGAATCTAAGTGTGGCCACTGATTAAACAGTTCCTAAAATGATGCCTTTAACCACAGATAATAATAGTTGGAAGGGAATCTCTGACCTAACCAAGCACAACTTGTTCATTATGTATTCAGAGACCTGCAAGGTATGGTCAAATCCCTAAGCACAGACATGGTCTTCCCTGAGAGTCCAAGAAAGATGGAAGACCTGATTTATCATACTTCTAGTTACTGGCAGAGTTAAGAGGAGACTAAATAGAGGTTCTTCCAAAGATATTACTTTGTCTATTTTTTTTTCCAGATCCCCAAGCTCAATGTATGCAATAATATGACACAGGAAGGTAAATATAAGTTAACTGGGCAAAGAAATGAAGTTAATTTTCCTTTGCAAGAGAACAGCTATCTCCCTTACTAAAATTAAATATTTCTAAAGTTAATAAAAGAATCTCCACATTAAAGGGGGAATATCCTGATATCAAATCTCCCATTCTTCTTCCACAGCTTCTCAGTGCATGACATAATCTACTGTTGTGACATTCCAGCATCTCCCCCTTCTCAGAGCCTGGCCCAAGTAACTCTATACAAACCTCCCCCTGTAGTATAAGAGCACCTGCTACTAACACCAAGATGTGTAGGAACTATGCCTTGATATTTACATTTTTCACTATAAAGCACAATGCCAGGTACCTGTGCCCAGTAAAAGCTGCTGAATGAATACATAAATGATCTGGTTAAATCTATTTTTAAAACTTATCTCCTTACTTTATTTAATGTATATATCCCCTGAAATCCTCATTTTAAACTTTAGCTTCTTCTGTGTCTTTCCATATGAGAAAAAAATGCTACTCATTGAGGTCATTTTATAAAGAAACCTACTAAAAGAGGAATTCTTTAAGTATATTCTAGATTATATATTTTATATTTTGCATTGACATAGACTGCAGAATCTCAGGGAATTAAGAGTCATTTTCCCAGCATAATGTTTAACTACCCATGGTTTAAAGTAAAAAGGCATACATTTTTATAGAATTTTCACCTCTTATCTTTCATCCCCTCACTAAAGGAAGATGCAGTACTCCAAGGCAAACTGGTTGCTCTCAAATGGCAACACTAATCAACTGGCTATGGCGGCTTGGAGTATGGTGTCAACAAACATCAGGAAAAGTACGGTGATCAGTTAGCAAGGTCTGTCATCACTAATCTTAAGCTTATCTATACTACAGGACAAAAGATGACAAAACTTTTATAGACAGGTGAACAAATCCTTGAGAAGCTGGACTCAAGTTAACTCTGTTAGTGCCATGGCAATTACTGGCCTTCCATCTTCTTTATATCCCAATAGGTCCCTAGAATGTTATGTATATGAAAATATAAACTCAGTCTGTCTTAATCATCAATGAATTCCGAGCACCTCTAATCACATATATGGACTCCAACAATATGCACTGAATTGAGTAAATGAATGAATCTTGAAAGGAGCACAGACTTTCATGTCAAACACAGCTATATTAAAGTATTGGCCTATCACAATGGTGTAAAACTAGGGGAGATATTTTACTTCTCTGAGCCTGATTTCCTCATCTATAAAATGACAATACTAATTTTACTGTTCCTCATGTGAAACTAAACATGAGAATGTGGTTGGCAACACAGGAGACACCCAATGCACATTCGCTCTCTTTCCTCCATAAGAGTAATAATAGAGCCTGCAGAATTTTTTCTACTATTTCTCTTAGTTCAAATATCACACTGGGAAATGGGAAATGACTCTTACTTTTTTGATATTCTGCATTATTATTTTTCTGTTGTTTTGTTTGAATGATGCTGTAGTTTTTATTTCCTTCTTTCCTTTCCCATCATTAACTCCAGTCTCAAGCAAGTTTATGGAAGGGAGGAGCCATGTGTATCATTTATCAAGCTGGACACGTGTTAAACAAATGCAACACAGTTTTCTGTCTTCAATGCATTTGAAAAGATTACACATGTAAATCTGCACCATGTCACCACAGGATGACACAGAAACACTCAGGTTTGAAAAAAAAGCCAACTACATGTGAAGTAGAAAGAAATTATATAAACACAAAGAGGATTAGCTCAGCATTTTGAAGCTATGAACCTGAGTACTCTACAGACAGCTTCTTCGCTGGAGGAAGGAAATGTTTAGTTAGAGCTATTTGTTTAATATATACACCAGATGAGATAAAGGAATTCAAAGGACAATGCAACTTATACTTCCTCATTTTGTTAAGCTTTTTTTCAAAACCCAGGGAGTTTCAACTTAGGAGAATTGCAAAGATGCTTTGGTTGAAAAATGAAGATATACTCCAACTTCCTAAGAAAAAATTAAGCTGTTAATACCTCTTTCTGCCTCATAAGATGCTCTGGTGGCCAATCCAGTGCTTCTTCTGTCAATGCCATTTGCTATTTAAAAACAGAAGTGGCTGGCCCTGTAAAACAATCTGCCTGATGAGGTCTTCAAGCTGTGTAATTAGGAGGCTATTCCCTAAATTGTTCTGCAGTGCCTATGGGATTAGATGAACAAGGCAGAGAGGCACAGTGGTTTGGAGGGGGCCAGTAAGGGCAAAGAGTTGACAATTTTCTTTTTGCCCACTTCTCTGCTCCTTAGAAACACCAGGAATAAGATTTTCCCTTCCATTAGCCTAATAGTATTCATCCACTCAAGGAAAGTTTACTGAGCACTTATTATGTGCCAAGCACTGTGTTTGGTGCTGGACACAATTAATATGTTAGATATGATTCCTACATTCCAAGCTTACAATCTAGTAAAAGTGCTATGGGGAATTTGGGGGATAAGCATGTAAATATATGTATGAGCTTTTTTTTTTTTTTTTTTTTGGTACCAAGGATTAAACCCAGGGGAATTTAACCACTAAGCCATATCCCCAGCCCTTTGCTTTTTATGTTTTATTTTGAGACAGGGCTCACTAAGTTGCTGAGGCTGAATTTGAACCTGTGATCCTCCTGCCTCAGCCTCCTGAGCTTCTGGGATTACAGGCATGTGCCACTGCACCCAGTTATGTATAACTATTAATAGTGATATCTGCAATAAAAACAACAATAACAACAACAACAACAAAATGTGCTGTATAAGAGAGTTAAATGTGGAAGAACAATTTAGATTGCACTTTCCTACAAAAGTGAGATTAATGTTATTACTAATGTCTATTCCAACAGAGACTAGAGAGGGACCCTTTCAGCAAGGCTATCTTACCTCTGGGAAGCTGGCCATATTCACCAAAATCAACTGTGGCGACTTCATGGAGATCTGGCTGATCTGGTTTAAAGCAAGCTTCCCATCAGTAGTTACCACAGTAATATGATCAAGGGATCCTAAAAGAAAAATTATAGGGTTTTAGAATTCTGCAGAACTTTAGAAACTCCACATCTAATTTTCTATCTAATCCAGATTGAATAAACATTTAGGGATCCATTATCAGTGTGACTCATAGAAGCAGCAGTGTCATGTGATATAAAGCTTGAAATGATACAATTAGGTTAAATTCCTTTCTGGCAACTAAGGGGACAACCATTCTGGTTCACCTGAACCCCAGGGGTTTCTTGCAACACAGAACTTTCAGAACTAAAACCACTAAGAACTGTTTCCCTTCCAGCTGCTATGCCATTTAATAGCTATAAAACCTCTGGCAAATAAGGGAAAAATGAAATTACAGCATTTGCAGGAAAATGGGTAGAACTAGAGACCATCATGTTAAGCAAAATAAGTCAAACTCAAAAAGTCAAGGGTCATATGTTTTCTCTCATGTGCGGAAGCTGGAGAGGAAAAAGGAAAACAAAAGTGGAGGTACTCTCCTAAAAATCAAAATAAGAYCAATAGAGGAAAGGAGCCAAGGAGTTGGGGGAGGGTGAGATAAGTGCTGGGGAGAAATATGATCAAATTATATTGTTACATTGTGTCTACAAATGAATATGTAACAACAAATCCCATCAATACCTACAACTATAATGTACCAATAAAAAAGATTTTTAAAAATCCTTGGCAGGTCACTAATTTTATCTGCCCCTTGGTTTCCAGCTCGGTTTAAAAGAACAAAAAAACACCTTATAGAATTAAAGTGAGTACTGTAGCTAATGGATTGTAGCTAAATATGCACAACCGAGTATCTAACAAATACCCAAGAATTAGCATTAAAAAAGTTACCTTTTTAGTTCTCAACAACTACCCTGTAAAATTGCATTGCTACCTCACCTTTTCAGATGAGAAAATGGAGATTTGAGAAGGATAAATGGACCAACAGAACAAAAGGAAAAAAAAAAATCAAGAACCAAGACTCACACTCGGTTGTGCTTAATTTTGATTTTGATCAAGGTTCATATAAAAGTAGAACTCAAATCTGGGTGTGAATCAGAATCACCAGAGTCTTTTAATTTAGATTCTTTGACCCTACTAGCCCAGAGATCCTGATTATGCAGAGATTTGGGAATTTGTGATTTAGGGGGAGTCTGAATTTTTTAACTTCACCACATGATTCTGACACACAGCCAGGTTTACAACCATTCCCTTATGCCACTCTTAATATTGGTGTCCATATCCCCTTTAGAAGCAAGCCCATTTGAAAATAAACAAACAAAAACCCTATTAATACTTCATTATTATTCTGTATCTGATCTTTATCTCCCTCTAAATTCTGGAAAACTCTGGGCAAAATTTCCAAAAATGCAAGAAGGCAAGCAATAAAGTAAGTTACAGAGAGGACATTATTCACACTTCCTGGCTTCCCATGCAAATGATAATGAGAAGAAAACCCTTACCATTCACAGTAGGAACCACTCATGGGTGGCTCATTCAACACAAGGGGAGTTGGGAGAACAAGTCTTAAATAAATTGGAGTTGTCCTGGTAATAAATTGTTAGAATGCAGTACAATACTATGGCCCAAAGATGTGATCTGAAGTACTCAGTCGTATTCAATATCATCACAGGATAGAAGGTTGTTGATCTTAAGAGCTTCAATCCGGAAAATCCAGAAGGCATAAATGGTAAAGTTGCCATGATCCTAAAGACCAAAGACCTAAGTTCAAATACCAACTCTGCCACTTCAAGATGGTGATACCTTGGGCAGATCCCTTCAACTTTATGTGCTTCTGTTTCCTTATCTCTAAATGGGACATGAAAAATTGTATTTATAGGGTTTTTTGAGTTTTGTTTGTTTGTTTGGTTGGTTGGTTAGGTTTTTTTAGTACTAGGGAAATAATCCAGGGGCACTTTACCACTGAACTACATCCCCAGCCCTTTTCTTTATGTTTTATTTTAAGACAGGGTCTTGCTAAGTTGCTTAAGGGCTGGCTAAGTTGCTGAGGCCGGCCTCCAACTTGCAATCCTCTTGCCTCTGAGTCACTGGGATTACAGGCACGCACCACCATGCCCAGCTGCCATTTATAGGCTTTTTAATGAGGATTCAAGAGTATATGAAAAGCCTTTGTAACTATGTCCCAATGATGTTAACTATTATTCCTATTGACATTTTTTCTATATTTGAAACAAACTGACCTACTTAAAATTCCTCTAAAATACTTTTCTCACCTCAGGACCCTTGCATATTTTTCTTCTACTGCTCAAATACCTTCCTTCCTTTCTGCTCAGATAACTCCTGATCATTCATTAACAGTCAGCTATACTAGCAGCTAATAACAGAAATCTTTTCTGACCTCAGCTAGATTACAAACCCCTAGTATAAGGCCCTAAGAATCCTGCATACATTTCTATAAATAATAATGATAACTTGAACTTACTGAATACTCCTATGTGCAAACATATCATGCTAAATGCTTTGTATAATTTACTGGCTTTCAATATAACAATAATCCTATAATGCAGTTATTATTACTTCCACCATTTTATAGATGAAGAAATATAAGACATAGAGAGTAGCTTTCTCAAGGTTATGACAGCTCTTAGTAATGGAGCCTAAATTCAACTCAAGTCTGACCATCTCCAAAGTCATAATCCTCACCACTCTGTATGGCTCTGCTGTATGGTTTTAAATCTTCTGCTTAACTTGTCTATTCCTTGACGTCAGACTTCTGAAAGGCAGAAACAATGTTTTTTTTCTCTAATCTCCAAATCACCTATTAAACAGCAAACTGCCACATGGTGGTGCATGCCTGTAATCCCAGTGACTGAGGAGGCTGAAGCAGGAGGATCACAAGTTCAAGGCCAGACTCAGCAACTTAGCAAGGTCCTCGGCAACTCAATGAGACCCTGTCTCAAAATAAAAAATAAAAATGGCTGGAGATGTATCTAAGTGCCAAAATGCCTCTGGGATTCAATCCCTAATACCAAAAAAAAAAAAAAAAAAAAAAAACAAGAAAAAAAATTTTAAATAAGCAGCAGGGAATAATTGGTCAATAATGCTACCATTAGTAAATAGTAAAGGAATGGATGGAAGAAGGGACAGATGAAAGGAAAAGAGAAAAAAGAAGAAACAAAACAACTATATCTCAGACAACTGTTAAAAGGTGTCAACTGTCAACTATCTTGAAGATAGAAATTTAGACACGAAAGTGTAAGAAGAAAAGAGCCTGCTGGTTTAGATAGCAATGAAAGATGATACAGAGAATCTGGCAAAAAAAAAAAAAGACTGGCTGGGTTTTAACCTGTTTCACCCGTAAAGAGACTTCTTTACAGCTCCAAGTTCTACCCAGAATATCACACAAACATAACCCTAAAGAAAAAGAAGCAAAGAGGAAATACCAATGGCAGGCCTTTTGAAAATGGATCTTAACTCAGCCTTCCTGATTTGCCGTAAGATCCTCTACCACAGAAGTCCCAACATGGGCATTTAGGCATGCAATTGTGGTGGTTCCCATTCCCTAAATCTGTATCGACATAATGCATCAAATCCTGTTCCCTCAATCCGTCCCCAGTGAGAATCTCCCTCAGCCTCATTCCTGCCCCTCATTTTCTCAGAGGTTAACATTTAACAAATTACACTCCCAACCTCTTTCCAGGCCCATCATCTTTTTAAGTTCAACAAGAGTGGAGCTTGCTGGCTAATTTTAAGTATCACATTTCTCCCTGAGCTCCTCTCAAACTGCTCTCTGGTTTCGACTGCAGAATGTTAACAGGCCAGAAAGCACAAGGGAGACACAGCACTTTATCAGCTTCATACCTAAAATAATAAGCAAGTTTAAAATAAACAGTTGGGGGAGAGTGAACGGCACGCTCTACTGTCAGCAAAGGCAGAAATGCACCATTCCAAAGGTTGACAAATGACGGGAATGGTCATCCACTTTCACATTGGATCTCATCTCTGAACTCCGTATGTTTCTGATAGTGTTTATAAATGAAGCTGTGTATTTTTCACTAGGCTTCCTTTAGAATTAGTTCATGAAATACTTTCTAGCTTCCTTATGAACTTCTCCAATCAAGATGTGAGTGGGAGTAGCCCCAGCTCCACAGACACCTTTAGAGGGGGTCCCAGGCTTAACTATAGGATGATGACAATTTGCAAAAGGCCAATTTAACAGCAATTGGATTTTTCCTGCCTGCTTGCACCATTAGCTGACAACTCACTTCTCCATCACATCTGCAAACAGTTCCCCTAGACAGTTCTGACATTTCCCACTTAGAAAAGCCACTTTCAGGAAGTTATTAACCCAAACGGAATCTTCCTGGTCAAGCTCAGGGGTATAGAAAAGCCTCAGGTGGGCAGGTTTGTAGCCATTTGGTTCCCAATAAGGGATAAGAACCACCAAATAGGACAAAGTGGAAAAATCAGACAAAAGGTATCAGATCATGAGTCTAAATACCTAGATGTGTTTATACTGTAATCACAATAAAACTCCCTTTTTTCTTGAAAGTATAATTCCATTAGAGCAAAGACCATGACTATTTGTTCACTACTGTGCATTAGCACAAAGCCTCATTCACAGTAGAAAAATATTTGCTGAATGGATAAATAAATGTAGTGTTAACAATGTGTAAGCACTGTATCTATTTTAATACCCGCCTCAACACTATAAGGTAAGAATCAGACAAGGATATTGAGGGTCTGAAAAGTAAACTAATATTAGTAAACTAATTGGTGGGTAATCAGTGTCAAAAGTGGGACTAAAACTCAGCTCAGCCAAAGCCATGCACCCCCACCATTAGCCTGCAACATACACAAAGCAATGCTCAGATACCAACCTGGTGAGGTCCTTATATTGAGAGTCTTATTGAAATTATCCTTAAGTGCTTCTATCACAGATTTCATTTCTTCATCCACCTCTTCCAAGTTTATTATATCCTCAACCAAGGTTATGTTAATATTCACTCTGGTTTGGGACAGTCCTTTTCCTTTAGCTAGAAAGTCAACATTCAGTGAAAAAAAAAAAAAACAGCAGTATAAACAAACAATAAGAAACTGATTTGTAAAAGTGCCTACTGTGTGCAGGGCAAAATGTCAAGTGCTATAAAATCATAAAACATTACCTTGGCCCTAAAAAAGAGAGCCTCTATTTATTAAATATCACTACGTACCCAGCACTTGCTAAACATTTTTGTAGACATTAAAGAGGGCACAGACTTCATAATTAGAAAGTTCAGATTAAAATCCCGGCCGTAGTCTATGGCCATATCACTCTAAATGTGCCTGACCTTGTCATAAAATCCTGGTTATAACACATACTAGCTTTTTGACACTACACAAGTTATTCAATCTTCTTCAGTATCAGGTTCTCTACTTGTAAAACAGAGAAATATTAATACCTGTGTTGTAAAATTGCTACAAGAATATAAATTAAGTCATTCAAATACCTAAAACAGTACTACCCACACTACAGGAAATCCATAAGTAATCTATTCCTTATTTTTCAGAAAAATAAACAGAAGATGAGAGAGGTAAAGTGACTTGCCTAATGTCACAGGTCAGGAAATGATAAAGTCAAGATTTGGTCCCAAAACTGCCTAATTTTAAATCCATGAACTTTGCATTAGACCATCTCTACAAAATCTAATTGGAGAGAGAGGAAATATGTTAACTCATCTAAAATGAATATTAAGACAAGGTTACACAGAACATTAGTTGGGCTGGTACAAAGAAGAGTAGTTTAGAGACATTAAATGTTACCAATGATAAATGAAAATGGCTTATATTTTAGAAAATCAACTGCTTTGGAAGCTGAGTAAAATTTTATTTTGTGTCTAAACCATCATAGTGATTTTCCATATGCATTTTATAATGTTATATGACACAAATATTCTTATATTTTCTATGGGCCCAAGAAAGGATAAAAAGAGCAAAAAATATTTAAATAATACCTTTGATAATGAATATTACACTATCATTAAATATCTGACAAACTTTTTAGAGTCACTCAACAAATGTTATTGAGTATCTACAGTGAGCTCAATCCTGTGCTACTTCTATAGCATATTCTAATTTCCAAGACAATTGAGTACATTCTTCTATTTGATAATCAAAATAGCTCTCTGAGGTAGGAAGAATAGAGATGATTATTGTGTCCAGTGTACAGATGAGAATTGAAGGCAAAAGTCATTTAAATCTCTTCCCCAAAGTAACCAAGCAGTAAACAGCACAGTGATTTTTCAAAAAACATTTATTCATTTACTCATGTCACCATCATGCTTGAAACACTATTACTCTTGAGTTAATAGGCTAATAGCTAAGAATTTTTTAGAACTGCTGAAAGATACTGATGTTCAAATTCAGAAATGCAAGTTCCAAACAGGAACTTAATAATAAAAGTAAACCTATACCTAGACATCTTATGATTGTAGAAAACCAAGGACAGAAATATTGAAAAGGCCAGAGAAAAGACAAATAATCCATAAGGGATCAAAATTTAGAATACTTTCTAAGAATAACAGCAGGAGCCAGACACAATGGAAATAATATCTTCAAATTTTTTTTTAATATCTTTTTTTCCCTTGGTGCTTGGGATCAAGCCTAGGACCCTGTGCATAACTTCTGACACTTTTTTTTTTAATGTTGCTGGCAATCAAACTCAAGGCACACATGTCAGGCAAGCACTCTACCACTGAGCCACATCCCTAGCCACAACTTAAGACTCTTTAAACGAAGTATCCAGTTAAAAATTTAAAGAGATGTCCATTAATATTAAAATGGATAAACAGTGGTATTTAGGAATGAAATGCCATGCAGCCACGAGAGAGAATGCTCTACAACTTCAGAGAATTTGAAAAGAGACCAGATAAAAAATAGTTCAGTCTTACAGTACAAAAGCCACATACAAAAAAATACGCTGAACAGTACAAAGCAAACTTATGCCATTAGAAATCACAATGATAATTAATTGCAAAGGGTAAAAGGTGGTACTTACTAGAGAGAACACAGAGGGTCTTTGACATGCTAAGAATGTTCTATTCTTTAATTTGGGTGCTGGTTACACATGTGATTTCATTGTGTGAAAATTATCAAGAGAAATATAAAATGGAAATTTTAAAATGCACAGAAATGAGCATAATAAAAATATTGTCAACCAAAAACCTGTTGGAAGTACTCAAAGTTGTGTTTAAATAAAAACTTATAGGATTGAGTTCCTATAAGAAAAGAACAGCCGGGCATGGTGGGCAAGATTTGGGAAGCTAAGGCAAGAAGAGCACAAGTCTGAGGCCAAACTGAGCAATTTAGCAAGGCCCTAAGCAAATTAGCAAGACCCTGTCTCAAAACAAAAAAATAAAAGAGAGCTGGGGATGCAGCTTAATGGTAAAGCAACCCTGAGCTAAATCCCCAGAAGCATAAATAAAGAAAGAATAAAAAGAAAAGAGAGAGGCACTCCCCTATTCATATAGTGAGGCTAATATACTTTTTTTTTTTTAATATTTATTTATTTTTAGTTCTCGGCGGACACAACATCTTTGTTGGTATGTGGTGCTGAGGATCGAACCCGGGCCGCATGCATGCCAGGCGAGCACGCTACCGCTTGAGCCACATCCCCAGCCCCGAGGCTAATATACTCTTAATGTTAAAAACAGACAACAGTAATAAAGAAAACTTTTATGCCCATCAATATTAGAAAAGTTACATTAAGGCTAATCTCACATAGAAATATAAACTAAAAAATCCTGATACTTAATCCTAAATATAAACTCAATAAATCCAGAAACATATATGCAGATTATATATCAAGAAATGTACATGTAAATTATGTATCAAGAATAAGTAAGGTGGGCTAGGGATGTGGCTCAAGCAGTAGCGCGCTCGCTTGGCATGCGTGCGGCCCGGGTTCAATCCTCAGGACCACATACAAAGATGTTGTGTCTGCCGAAAACTAAAAAATTATATATATAAATAAATATTTTTAAAAATTAAAAATAAATAGAACAAGTAAGGTTCGTACCAAGAATTTAACAGTGTTTAACATCAGAAAAGCTACTGACATTGAATTATCACATTAATAGATTAAAAGAGAGGAAGAGCTAAGCACTGTGTCACACACCTGTAATCATAGCAGCTTGGGAGGATGAGGCAGGAGGATTGCAAGTTCAAAGCCAGCTTAGCCTGAAGCCCTAAGCTGCTCAATGAAATCCTGTCTCAAAAAAAAAAAAATAAACTAATTAAAAGGGCTGGGGATGTGGCTCAGTGGTTAAGCACCCCTGGATTCAATCCCTGGTAACAAAAAAAAAAAGGGCAAGGGTTGGAGATGTAGCTCAGTGGCAGAGTGCTTGTGTAGCATATGTGAGGTCCTAAATTCAATGCCCAGCACCACCAAAAAAAAAAACCCACATATATATATACATACACACACACACACACACACACACACAAGAATGTTCCTAACAGCCTTATTTATTTTAGCTCAAAACTAAAAGTAAACTCAAATGTCCATATATATATATATATCTCTACCTATTCAAAATGAAAACTTTTGGCAAAATAGGGACAAAAATATTTGATTAAAAGAGACTACCAAAAACCAAGCAAACAAAACTCTTGATGTGAACATATAAGAAGTGTTCCCTGTAAAGTCAGGAATAAAACAAGAATGCCTATTATCACCAATTACATTGATCATTCTGAATATGGTGTGCTTTAAAAAATCTAATTGTTTCTTTTCCATTGGGTCACACGTCATGTCATCATATCCTGTTATAGCCTATTCTTTCCTCCAGATTTGTAAAACCTCCTCTGTTGATAGCCAATCTAGTGAAGGAGGGGGACAAAGAGAAAAGGAGAAGCAGAGAAGGAAACATATGTACTTCGTGTACAAGAATGTTCCCAACAGCCTTATTTATTTTAGCTCAAAACTAAAAGCAAACTCAAATGTCCATCAACTATAGAATGGATACAAAAATTGTGGTATACGCATTCAGCAGAAGACTACAAAGAGAGGAAAATGCACAAACAACTGTTTCACAAATCCCACAAATAGACTGTTATCGGAGCCAGACAAAAAAAGAATCCATGGAGCTTGAAAAGAATAAAACTATCCTATGTTAAAATCAATATAGTAATCTATCTTTCAGAGGGTGAAAGGGACATGAAAGGGACATGAGGGAAGCTTCCAGAATATAAGCAGCATTCTATTTCTTAATCTAGGTGATGGTTACATGGTTGTATTCATTTTATGTCAATTCATAAACTACACACTTTACAATTTAGGAATGCACTTTTCTGGATATATGTTATCACTAAAATTTTTTAAATGTTTCATACATAAAAGTAACAAAAATATTATACTACTAACAAAAATAAATTGATTAAAAAATTGTGCAAATATTTCTGGTGAAAACTTGACAATGTGATTATAAATTTCATATAGAAGAGCAAAAAGCCAAAAAGAAAAAGTATATGTCTAATGGAGGGAAAGATCTGTACCACTACATCAAGACTTTCTGACAGTGATTCAGGTAGTAAGGAATTTAGTGCAGGGAGAGAAAGGTAATTCAACAAAATAAAAGCTCCAAAATTTAAAATATTCATACAAAGAAACCTGACATTCAACAGAAAAGGCATTACAAATCTGGAGAAAAGAATGGGCTACAACAAGTGATGGTGACACAGTCTGTGTCCCCTATGGAAAAGAAACTTAAAAGAAACTTAGATTTCTCAATGCACTCCATATTCAGAAACAAATCACCTTGGGATAGGAAGCATTTTTTGAGGAACACATAAAAAGCCCAAATAATAAAGGAAAGGACTGAAAAAATTATGACTCCATTAAAACTTATGTTCAACAAAGATACCAGAAACAAAGTAAAAAGCAAAGAAGATACTTGTAACACATATAATCAACAAAGAATTAGTATCCCTAATGTAGAAAGACTCCAATAAATCTAAGAGAAAAAGTCAGGGGCTGGGGATGTGGCTCAAGCGGTAGTGCGCTCGCCTGGCATGTGTGCGGCCCGGGTTCGATCCTCAGCACCACATACAAACAAAGATGTTGTGTCCGCCGAAAACTAACGAATAAATATTAAAAAATTCTCTCTCTCTCTGTCTCTCTAAAAAAAAAAAAAGTCAAACAAGCAATCTTATAAGGAGGCAATCAAAGGAGATGGAACTGAGCAGCCTATAGACTATGCAAAGATGCTGCTGACAGACTGTGGTAGAGTCTAAAGCTGCAACACCAGGTTTGTAGTTCACCCACTAGCTAGATATGACCACAGGCAAATTATTTTTACAAATGTACCATGGTCTTCTCATTTGTAGAATAATGTGATCTCAATTCACTAGAAAATTATAATTCCTTTACTGTATAAGGATTGAATGAGTAAATAAATGCATGGTAACTTTTAAAAATATGTAATACAATAAATACAAATCAAATGTTGTGGCTAATTATTACTCTTATCAGAATATAAGTCTTTTAAGCACTAAAGCTCTTTCAGCATTTAATTTTCCTTCCAACAAAAAGGAGAAGGTCTGCATGAAACCAGAAAAGGAAAGTCAGTGGGAAAATATTCAGCATATTTCTAGCACCATCCTTGGGAGTGGACTGCCCGACCCCCACTGCAAAAAGCTGGTCTGCTTGACAATTTTCTGTCACTCATTTCATTCAGTCAACAAAATATTTTAATATATACTATGTGTCAGGCCCTGTTAGGTGTTAAATAACAAAGAAAGAGACTATCTTCATTGGATCCAATATGGAAGGCAGGTAACAAATAAAAATAAATCTTATGATTGAGCAATTAATTAATGATTGCTCTTCTAAGTGCATCAGAGGTAAAATAACTGTGTGCACAAGTACATGTAATGGGAACTGACCTAATTTAAGAGGTCAGGGAAGGCTTCCCTGAGGAAGTGGCATTTAAGCTAAGACCTGCGGTACATCAAAATCTCATTCTTGGATGACACAAGCCATTAAGATCATCCATCTAACTCCATGGTTTAATACCCCCTTCACCAAAAACCTTCTGGTTTTAATTATACTTCCAACATGCATCTTCCCGTAAAGAAGAGAATTCATTGATCCCGTCACAAGCATTCTAGTTTGCTGGGCACTTCTATCTCTAATTCTAAATAAAATAAATAAATAAATAAATTGAGCATTTTTTGAGCCACCAAGAAAATAAATGAACCAGCATGATAATAAGAAAACAGGCCCTGGGTTCTAACAGTCTCTCACTGTGACCTTTTAAACTAATCATCTGAACTGTTTTGAGATATCATTACCTCATATGGATTAAGGGGAGAAATTCAGTACATCTCTGAGATCCCTGCCAGTCATGATAAGTCAACTGCCAAATATAAGAAAATGACTAGGAGGGAGAGGGATTCATGTATCTCTACCTTTGGCTTTCTTGGTTGCAAAGTGGCGAACTGGTACAGCTGAATAGGCCATGTGTTGCTTATGGTCATGTTGTCTTCCACTCACTGTCTTCAGTGTAATATTTGAAACAGGTCTGGTCAAGGCTGCAAGGTAATTGCAAAAGGCAGGATGCATCAAGCGGAAGCACTTTAATCCCAAAGCCATGACTGAAGACAATTCCTGTGAATATCCACTAAAAAAAAGATAAATAAATAAAGACATAAAGTAGACCTAAGTAAAAGTGATGCTACTGCAAATTCAGAAAATAATTCATACCAATTATCAAGCTATAAATTCAGCTATAGACTAGGCAAATTAAACACATTATTTCTAACCTTCCTTCTAACAGCCATACAAGGAAATATTAGCCTCCTTTTACAGGATTAAGAATATGAGACTTAAGTAATTTGCCCATAGTTTGTAGGACTCTGAATCCTAAGTTCTTTTGACAGCCCAAAATGCCTCTATTAAGCAAATGTGCAGCATCACAAATCTTTAATGAAGCTAATTAAACCCTTATATGAGGAAAAGCACAAAATCTTGATAAAGTTGAAGGGGGGGAGTACTAGAAGAGGGCTTTAAACTAAATAAGAAAACCATTTCAACAGGCATAAAATGACTGGAAAATTTACACGACAGCATTTAATTAAAATTTTCTTTGGTTCCTTATGCACTGATTACCAATTAGAATGCACTTTACTTTAATGTGAGTCTGAAGCATGATTGAGGTTTCAGGTCTCCCATGGTATAGAACTAAAGCTCTGCTAAATGACATCCTCCACCGGGTTAAAAAAAAGTTACACAATGTACTTCTAAGGTCTTTGACCATGTAAAGATGCTATTCCCTCAACTACCTCTGAAACAGAACACAATCCTAGCCAACAAATGGAGCACTAATAGCTTCTGCCAGGAATCTGGCTATCACTCAGCTAAACAATTACCATCAAATATCTGGAAGCTGCTATCTTTGAAAATCAGTTCTACACATCCTCAAATTTTGATGCACTATGATAATTAGACTGAATAAAAAAAGCAAGAACTTCGTAGCAAGAAAGGCCCCAAATCCAATCCCAGCTCCACTACTGACTAAATGTTCCTGAGTGTTTCTGTACCTTGATTTCCTCTACTGTAAAATTGGGATAATTATGCTTATTTCTTAGAATTGAGAATAATGAGGTTAGTCAGGTAAAATACTTGGCAAGGACCTAGCAGACAGCAGGAGTCCCAAAATGGTATCTATTAATAACTATCACTTTTCCTTTCAAAGACATTTATTCCAAGGTCAGATTCAGTAAAGAAATCTTATACATATGTTATTTCTGATCTGTAAGGAGGCCCTGAGTCAGACTTGGATGCAAATTTCTACTTTGGGTAATTCATTCTTTTGGGGGGAGAAGGGCATCACTTTCCTCATCAATGAGAAAAATAACTATGATCTTAAAATAATGAATGCATGTAAAACACATAGCTAATGCACAGAATATGACAGCTGCTTAATAAATGTGGCTGTCATTATTATCATTATTTTTTAAGAAAGCAAATTAGTTCAAAGGCACTTAATTTTTCCCGGTGGAATTTGTAATAGCAAGTCATACAGATTTCAGCAATCAGTGTATGAAGTCTGTACAAATAGATCTGGATGAAAAATGAAGTAGCATTTTTTCTTCTTTGTCATCAATGGCTTCTATTTTCATTGTGGTTTGGCCTGGGCTGTTTATTGTATCTGTATCCTTTTATTTTACCGGTCAATAATGCTACAAATGAAGTATAACATTCCCCATTTTACAGATCTTGAAACTGAGGCTCAGAGAGGTTGTTACTATCTAAGAACATCGAGCTATTAGCCTAGCTCTACTGAAGAACTGTTCACAAAAATTTGGCTAGGAGTAAGGTTTCTATATCTAGGTTTTTGCCTAATATAGCCAATGCCTAACTCATACTTATATCCAAATATGGCTGCATAATAACTTGTTTGGTTTTTTTTAAATCTACAGGGTCTCAATCTGGCTGCTCCATTTATGACTGGTTTCCTGGTGTTCCTGTTGCAGGTCATAATACCAATCCACAAAGCAACAGGAAATCAAAATGGGTTAGAAATAAACAACCTTTGACAGAAAACGCAGCACCCAAAAGCAGACCCAGTACACGTGAACCGGAAAACAATTCTATAAATAAACCACATTGCTGAAATGCTTAAGGCGTAGATCTTAATTGCATAGAAATCAGGAAATTTGGAAGTGGAGGTTCAAAGAAGCAGTCCCTTGGATCTTTTACCTTATGGACATGCATATTAACATTCAGTTCAGCACAGATACAGAATTCAAGTTAAGAAGCTTGTTATTAGAGTACAAATATTATTCAACAAAATTAAGCCATATACAGAAGCAATATAACTAAAGTGTCTAAGCTTCAGACATAGTCTGGAACTGGAATCTCATTTTTCCCCTTATTAAATGTGTGACCTTAAGTAGGTCATTTAACTTCTCTGAGCTACAGATTCCACCACATTAAAATATTAATGACATTTTAACATAATTATTATATTAATAAGAACAAATAACCATTTATATAGTGACCAGAAATCATTCCAAGTACTTAATAAACTCTTCTGAATCTCAAGATGTAAGTATCTCAAGCTGTAATTAGTGATTATTACCATTTTACAGATGAGAAAAGAGGCTCAAATAAATTGACCCATATTTGAACTCAGGCAATATAGCTGCAGTCTATGCTCTTAACAATTATACTATATTGTGTACATAAAACACTCAACACAATATCTGGCTTCCAGCAGGAGTACAATAAGGAGTAGCTAGCTATTACATTACTTCAACTTCTGCAATATTTTCAAACTATGTGAAAAATGCATTCTTTCCCAAAGTTGAGGGTTTCAAAACTCAAATTTCCCTGTTCTTTGGAGAAGGTACATTTTAATTTTGGAAAGAACTAGATAATGAACTCAACTCCTGACCCTTTCACTGTCCCAACAATCCCTTCTAATCTATTAACTTACAATATGCACATTTTTTATAAATATGTGTGTACAAACTGACCCCTGTATATAAAATTCTTTCACATTATAATATTTGATTACAAATCACATTTTACAAATAAACTGATCTTTCATTTCCTCAGGGGCTCCTTCATGACTCAACATCTTCAAATATGCCACTGAATCTGCTTGGAATGATCTTCCCTCACCTATTTACCTCCTATTTTTCTTTCAGACTTCAGTTTAACCATCACTTCCTCAAAGTATGTGTTCCTGTTGAGTGTGGTGGTGTATGCCTGTAATCCCAGTGGCTTAGAAGGCTGAGGCTGGAAGACCACAAGTTCAAAGTCAATCTCAACAATTTAGCAAGGACCTAAGCGACTTAGGGAGATAATTTCAAAAAATGAAATAAAAATAAAAAGGCCTGGGATATGACTTGGTGATAAAGCATCCCTGGGCTAAATTTCTAGTACCAAAAAACAAAAGGTCTTTCTTGGCCACCTCCTCCTACTCAATTAGGTCACAGGTCCTGTATCCCAGTTTCATAACACCCTCATGATAGCATTAAACTTTTCATGATACAAGTTAACATTTGTGTAATTACTTTATTATTGTCTAAAGGTCTCCAGATGGCCACATGCACTACAAAGCACTACTATGGCAGTCTTGTTTGCCTCTGCATCCTCCTCCATGCCTAGCACAGTGCCTGAACACAGAAGATACCATCTACATGATGAAAACATGAATGAAAGCCCAGAAAGAGTAAATCCTTATCCAAGGTCAAAACGCTGGCACCAAAGTTGGAATTACCCTGATGGTAGGTCCTGGGTTCTACTTCCAAGAACTAATTCCATTATCCCTTGGTTTGCCAGGTTTTTGCTGAGAGTAGAGCATGCTCTTCTTTAAATTCAGTGCCATGTAAAGAAATATATTCGTAATATGACTCTACACAGAATCACTATGTCCTTGGTACAGCCAAAAAAGGAATTTAGAAATTTTAACAAGTGAAGAACTTGTGCCCAAGAACTATGAGATGTGGATTTCAATTTTCCTACCTCAGCACTCCCTGTCATCCATCTCCTTTAGATCCACAACAACCTGTATTCAAAAAAACATCTATGGCAGCTCTATCACTCCTTGGACCAAATTATTTCTCCTCCCTAGACTTTATTTCCCCAACTACAAAATGAAGGGGGGTCAGGCTAGGTTTTCATCTATAAAGCTCTGCTAGATCCTGGAAAATATAATAGAGTGTGATTAAAGAAAAAGCCACCAAATTTAGACAACACCTAATAGAATCATTTCCAGCACTTCCTAAATATGTGACCTTAGATTGGTCAAACTCTCTGGACTTCAAGCTCATCTGTAAGCTCATCTGTAAAATGTGTCAGGGTTCTTCCTCTGGGCTGCAGAGAGGAGTGCTCAGGTTTAGAGTCAGCCCTAGGTTTGAATTTATACTTCATCACTTAACAACCGCGTGACCCTGGGAAAGTTATCTCTTCGAGCTTCCGTTTCTTCATCACGGAGAGTAATAATACCTTCTCCCACGGGACTGTTCTGAAAATGAAATGTTCCTGTCAGGTTGTGTGCTACTTAATTGTCCCTCGACGACCCTGAAAGTCCTAGCTGATGAGACAGCCCCGCTCCCACCCGGGAGCCTCGCTCTGAAGCCACAAGTCCCGCCCCCCGCCTTAAGGTCAGGCGGGACTGGAACCGGGTGGGAGCGGGAGTCTGGTGCCATAAGGGCCTAGGTCCTTGAAGAAGGGTCTCTGGCACCTGGACCCTGCGCGCGCCGCGAGACCCTTGGAGGCCACTCACCAGCTATTGCCCAGGTTACTAGGGCAAGCCTCGTGCGACAGCGGAGGCGACGGCGGCGGCGCGGGCGTCGTGACGTCACGGGGCAGCGCGGCGGCGCAGGCGTATCGCGTCACGGGCGGCCTGGCTGCGGGAGGTGTTGAAGCGGACCGAGCTACACGTCTGTCGGACCCGGAGTTAGGACCTGCTTTCGGGGCATGAGCTGAGGATACAACGCCGAGGCCACCAGGTGAGTCCGGCTGCGACCTGTCCCTGCACCTCACCGGCAGCCCTGCGAGGAGGTCTTAGAAGAGGCCGCCTGGCAGGACGGCTCGCAGGCCCCGCCCCGGATTGTCCTGCTGCTGCCCGGAAATAACAATCCGAGTAATAACCTCTCGCCTCTGGGAATCCGCAGCCAAGAATTGGGAAGTCGGGGTTCCAGGCTTGACGCCGTTGTTAGTCTGGGGGAGCAGGTCCCTTTGCTTCTTTGGAGTTGAGTTTCCCCGAATAACTATTACTGGCTTACCAGGGTTGTTGCTGCTCAGCTGGGAGGACAGGTGTCGACTGTGAACTCTGTTAACCTAAGGGTTTATCGCCATTGCAGATCTAAAGAATTTTGATAGTCCTGTGCCGTCTTGATCTTTTATAACACCTTATTGTTCCTCGAAAAACCCTGTGCTGAGCTGTCGCCAGTATGGTCTTACTTAAGGCCCAGAACGACCTCAGAGATAGGAATGTTTGTACCATTCTAGGAAGGAAGCAGAAACTGAGGCTTCAACTGGAGAAGTGCCTTGTTGCATTCATTCACTTACTAAATATTGAGCACCAGCCATGAGCCGCCGGGCAGTGTACTAAGTGCATAATCAAGATTGGCAAGGCCCTGTTCTCTTTGAGCTTAGCTACTAGTGAGGGTAACAGAAAATAAGCCCTTAACCGACTCCTTGAATTCGTATTATATGAGAATACAAAAAGTGACTGATAGAGAATCAAGGAGACTCTGTTGGGAGAGATGACGTTATTTATTACAGTAAATTGGTTCAAAAGTCAGGATTCAAATCCAGATCTCTCCAGCCCTGTATTTTGCATTCTTCCCATCAAAACATAGTACCTTTTTGCACTATTAAGTAGCTTTTCGTTTTGTTGGTGGTTTTAGACATGAAAAAATTAGAAGTTCCTATCATTCTAATTTCAACTCAAATGTCATCATCTTCAGAGAGGCCTTCCCTCTCCATTCAATCTAAGGTAATCCAAAACCATGTCAGAACACCCAGATTAATTGTGTTTGCAGCATTTATCACTAGTTATATCTAATTTCCTTCCAAATACAAGCATCCTGAGGGCAGGAACTTGCTTCTTCACTGCCCAATAATTAACTAGACATTACCTAGAAAATTGAAACTCAATTTTTTTTKGGGGGGGGGATGAACTGTGAGAAAATAGAGGGAAACAAAAGCAGGATGAAGACAAAATGTTTCTTCCATTTTCACTCCTGGGATTCTATATATGTCTGTATCACCTTCCTCTCAGGAAGTAAGGGCAAGAGCTGTGGCTTATTCGTTTCTTTGTTTTCAGTGCATGGCTCAGGCTTTAGCAGCTCATAATTGCTTATCTCATGTTACTGAACAGGTTAAAGATGTGAGTGGGAAAAGCAAGAAAAATACCCTAGTGTGAAGGGAATAGATAAGCATGCTCAACAAACAGCTAAACCAGGGACTGCTGTGTGCTAGGTTTTGTGGGTGTACTTAGAAGAATAAAAGGCAATGGCAGTGTCAATATCAGTGCTGAGCCCTTTGGAATATATAGGACACGTTTTTTTCTAGCAGGGAGTTCTGAAGTCTGGCACAGCCTGCCCTCTTCCTAACCCCTTTACCTCTCTTTTCTCGATCACATTATATATTTATTATCTCTTTTTACCTGTCTTCTCATTTTTTGTTCTCTCAGCAACCTTAACTTATAAGCAAGGCAAAGCTTATTACTTAAAGATGAGGAAACAAGCTCAGAGAAAAGCAACTTCCAGTGGAAATGCCACAGTTCAAATCTAGGTGTTCTGACACCAAGCTTTCTGCTCTTTCCATTGCTGGGTCCATCGAAATCCTTGTTCTCCTTAGCCATAACATGAGGTACTAAGACTGGTGATAATTTACCAGTCTTGAATGCTTCCTAGGTGCCATGCACTGTTCTGAATGCTTTAGGCCTGTAACTTACTGAATCTGCACAACTCGGTGAGGTATTATTCCCATTTTACAGATGAGAAAACCAAGGCAAAAGTGGTTAAGTAACTTACCCAGTTATTCAACTATCTAATGGTGGAACTGGAATAACTAGGGGTAAATTAGTCTCTTCAACCCACTTTCTCTCCGGATATTAAACAGGATAATAACTGATATTGATAACTTACTATAGGGAGATACAGTGCTTAGTGGCTTTTTTCATGTACTATCTTTAATCTTCACAATAATTCTATAATATAAGAATTGTCGTCTCTATTAGTATATTTGAGAAATTTGAATCATAGAAAGTTCAGATAATTCACCAAGTCACACAAGCTGCTTTCAGACCAGTCCTAACTCCAAAATCTGCAGATTTTCTATATTGCCTCTTCCTTTGGCAGTATTGCTTCTTCCATGAGGAAAAGGGATATAACACTGCTCTTCTCTGACCATCCTCTTCAGTGATGTTAATGTTCTTCCAAAGCTTATTTCAGTGACAGTCATTAAACTCAAGTGTCATGTAGTAATAGAAACTTTGGCCTCCACCCCTGTCAGCCTCTAGCTGCAGAGGAGGAAAGCTTGAATTTCTCCACACAGCCACTCCTCTTTCACCTGAAATGGCAGCTTCTGTGCTCTAGCTACTGGAGGAGCTGTCTCAAGGGAACTGGTTCTGGGGCCATTGTTATGGAGTAACTGAGGCCTCAGAAAGTCTGCCTGGAGGACTTGCCCTCCTTGAGTAAATGTTTGCTGGGTTGAATTTGAAGACTCATGTTCATACAGTGTTGCTCCTCTCCTGCCTGAATGTTCACATTGCCTTTAGTATTTCATAGAGATTGATGGAAGCAGAAACCAAAACTCTTCCCTTGGAGAATGCATCCATCCTTTGGGAGGGCTTTCTACAGGAAGGGCACAGATTATGGATTGGCAACCTGGACCCCAAAATCACAGAGTAAGTCTAAGTCACCTTAATTCATTACCTATAAAGTTGGGATGTTTGTAGTGGTGCTGCTCAGAAGAATTTCAAAAGGGTGTAGGATATATTTTTTACCTTGTTATTTATGTTTTGTCTTTGAATGGAAAATGATGTCATTTGCCTGTTATTTTGTCATTTTTCTTGTATTTGCACTCTGCTACTGTGAGAACACAGACTTGGGAATCCTTTAAAACATATACCTTTTTTTTTCCTACTTGCCAAAGATGTTCTCTAATTTCCAACTATTGAATCCTTGTACCCAGTGGCTACAGGGAATTGTTTTTGAAAATCAGCCTGGGACATATTTTGTCTCCTAGTGTGATAGAATAAGCAGAGTCTCAGTACCTTTGCAGATGAGCAGAGGGGTGCCACTTGACTCCAATTCCTGTAAGCAACTACAGAATCACAGAAGGCGAAAGTGGGAAGAGATCTCAGAGATCATCCCACTTTCCTTTGGTTTTTTATTATTATTCATCAAATGATTTGAGTGTCAATTGTGTGCCATGCTAAACGGTTTTCAGGCTTTTTAAATCTGAGGGATGCTGTTATAAAGTGAAAATAATCAGAAACTACATATAAAATAAAAGCTTATAGCTACTCTGATGTCAAAAAGGATATATATATCCAAAGCCTTTTGTTAGCTGCCATTCTTTCTGTGGCATTCCTGAAGAAACTCTGTGGAACTTCCAGGGCTCCATGGAGCACACTTGAAAACCTCTGATACAATCCAGCTCTCTTAAACTACAATAGAGGAAAGTGGGGCCTAAAAGTCACAAGGTCACAGACAATTGAGAGGTTTTTTCCTCTTTTCCCAGTTGTTTTTTACAGGGGGAAGGTGAGGGTTGGTAGCAGAGTAGTAATGGGTGAAGGAACTGAGCTGAGCCAATGAATCAAGCAGGTGTGGAGTATTTCATCAGCCCTAGAAAGTTACTCTTTTTGGAATAGTGTCAAAGGGAAGAAGAGAGGAGAGAGCTGCTTGGCATGAGAGGAGGTGTATTTAAGGATCAGGATGAGGAGAGAAGAAAAGGTATGTAAATTTATAGGTCTGGGTCATGATAGAAAGTTTAGCTCCTTAAATCTGATGGAGCTCAGATCAGCTAACTGTAGATAAGTGTGGGCCCTCTAGAAATTATGGTGGTATATAAGATATGTTGCTCCTATATTATACTACTTTGGTCACAGGGACCCCAGAATGTAGCAAATATTTCAGTTCTCTTTAATGGTCCATGGCTTTGAGGATGAATGTGAACCTGTTCAATCTCTCAATGTCTATTCATCAGAGAAATTTTTTCCATCATCTAAAACCCTAGCTCAGGGGATGCTGCTTCTAAGAGTGGTTTCCATTCCCACCTCTGCTTGTCTGAATGGAAATCTCAAGCCTGGAAACAGTGTTGGTTGTGTTGGCTGCAATTCCATTAAATGCTAATTGTGCCCTGCTTGTCAGGAAGGTGCAATGGGCATTGGCCATCTCCATTGATGTCATAAGTTGGAGTATTATGAAATTTTTTCAGTTAGAGCTTTAACAAGAACATTAAATCAAAACTTTCCTACTGACACCTCTGTCCTTTTTACATCAGGCCAAAGGTCGACATCAAGTACCAAACTGCAGATTACGGCCTTTCCAGCCAGAAGTGTGTGTTCTACCTAGGGTGTCCCCACTTCTGTATATATTTTTGCTAGTCTTCTTCTATGGATTCCTTACCTAAAAATATTTCATCTATTAAACTGATTTATTAAATAATAATTGATTTATTTTTAAATAAAGACATAACTACTTTATGGTTAACATGAAAGTCTAGCATTTCCTCATTTAATTTACTTAATTCTAAGCAAAAAAAAAAACATAACATTTTAGTAAAGTCTTAACTTATGGAAATATATGATTTTCTTCCAAGTTTGTTGAAATATATAAACTTTTGGATCCCTCTCCTCTCAGGGTAAATAACAGTGAGTCTAGATGTATAATTAACAGTCATTCCCTATGTGTATGTGTGTAAGTGTATGTATGTGTATATATATATATATACACACACACACATATATAAGGTATATCTTATAAATCTTCAGAAAGTATTAACTGAATCTAAATCTCTAAACTAGTAATGACTCTTGACAGAGGTTTGCAGAGCATCCTCCAGTTTTCCCAATTAAACTTATTCCCCACCCACGAATTGCTGCCAGTTCCTACTGTTTCCCCATCAGTTGACCCTTCTTATCTCTCTGTCCTATGTATGTATCCTTACTCTTTACCACCTCTCTTCTTGATCTCTTTCATAAACTGAACTGAATGTCTGTCCTATACAAGTGTTTTCTTACCTCTTTTAGAAAACAAATTACAGTATATATTTACTATCAGTATTTACAAGAATATGTAAAACAGGTAATTTTCAAAAACAGCACTTTCCCATTCAGTTTTTCTGAGTTTATTTTGTGATTGGTTCTGGTCATATTGTGTGTCTGTGTGCATGTGTGTGTGTCTGTGTGTCTGTGTGCGTGCACGCACGCCTCTTGGTTATTAATCCGAATCCTACTCAAGTTATGGTAGAAAGTCCATCAGTCTAAACAGAACATGCATTCCTTACTAACTGCCTAATTAATTAGGTTTCTTGTTATTGTGGTATTGACCTATTTAGCCTATACTACATACCAGAAATATAGGTAAAGACTGAGTAGATCTTAAGAGACTTGGATTTGAGGAAGTGATGATGAACATTTATTTATGGAAGTGACAGAGTCCAAACCCATGTTCTTTCAACTATAATTCCTTAACTACATTTTAACTCATATTTCTTACTATAAAATGAGAGTGTTCACCTAAATGATATGAACACATCTTCTAATTCTAATATTGTATAGTGACCTTATTTAAGCTCACAACAAATTTGGGAGATAAGTGGAACAGATATTATTTTCCTTATTTTATAGGAAAAAAAAGAGTTAAATGAGTTGGCTTAATTTACTGAAGTAGTTAATGATAGAACTAATTTACCACTGTCTAATTTAGTGCACTTTGTACAAATACTCTAATAGTCTGAGTAATTGAACAGTCATGACCTAAGGTATCCTGTTTTAAATTTAAACATGTAAGGATTTCTTTTAAATTGTGGGACCCAGTTGAACTATAAGGGTTAAACGTATCTTTAAATATCACTACCAGTGCCTTCAATGGAAAAACCAAAAAAGCTGATATACTTAGACATCTATTTTTTCTGAATTGTAGTTTTTCTCTAAAGGGTTAATACTGGCTTTTTTTCAATATTGAATGTGCTATGTAGGAAGCCAAAATAATAACTACTACATTATACATAAGAAGGAGAAGTGTGAGAACAAAGCTAGTATAATTTAATAGAAAAAGCATCCTAAGTGAAGGTAAAATAATAAATAAAAATATAAGAGTAGGAATAAGAAAGATCTTTATGTGTAAGCAGAATATTTTGGCTGAAGGAGAGGTTAAAAAGTAAATGGTAATTAAGCTGGTGTGGTGGCACATGCCTGTAACCCCAGAGGCTTTCAAGGGTGAGACTGGAGGATCTCCAGTTCAAAGCCAGCCCCAGCAAGGGTGAGGCACTAAACAACTCAGTGAGACCCTATCTCTAAATAAAATACAAAATAGGGCTGGGGATGTGCCTCAGTGGTTGAGTGCCCCGAGTTCAATCCCTGCTACCAAAAAAAAAAAAAGTAAATGGTAATGAATAGTCAGATGGATAGATAGAATACCATCAGGTTAAGACAGAGTCTAAAATTTAAGAAGATGCATTTGAATTCCATGTAGAAGAGATTTATTGTGGGGGATTTTGTTTGTTTGTTTTGTAGGTTGTTGGCAGGAGACTGACTTCATGAAAGTGATGTTTTAATTGAGAAATTAGACCTCAAGCATATAGGATGAATTGGAAGACCAGAAACTGAAGCTCAAGATTAGTTAGGATAGGCTACCATAAACCAGGCCAGCCATCACTGTCAACCTAGGTAGAGACAGTGAACTTATAGACAGTAGGTGAGTCTGAGACAGGAAGAACATGATTAAAGAAGAGAATTGAAGAAGATCCTGAGAGTTTTTTTGTTTTCATTTTCATTTTACGTGGCTGAGGACACCTGAGGGGTTTTGCCTGAGGAATATAAATAATTCATGTCCCCGAAGGGACCATAGAGTAGCTAAAAAGAGCCATCCCAGTTTGTAGTGGGGAGGTCAATTTGGAGTATATTAAGTAAACTTAAAATCAGTGGAGAGCCAGCTAAGTGGAAGTGTCCTCCTGATGCAAACTTTCAGGGATTCACTAGATAAACTAGAATGCAAGGGAAACTAAATGCAGGAGCATGTGAGAGCATTGTTTTTACCCCGAGAAACCTGTTTCTTTCTCAACCCATTTCTTATTTTTCCTTCTGACTCCAAGCTTCTTTTTATGTCTTGGTTTGCATGAAACAGCCTTTTCCTGTTAGATTACTTAAATCTGAACTGCAATAAAACCATTTAACAAGGTACATAGCATAGAATATAAAGACCTCAGTAACTTCTATGTGCTTTTAAAGAAATTCTTCTCTAAGATAAATCATGCACAAAAAAAAAAAAACAGACCTTTTTTTTTTTTTTAAATCATGCACAGTGGTACATTTATGTAATCCTAGCTATCTCAGAGGCTGAGACAGGAAGATTGCAAGAGACCAAGGCTAGCCTGGGCAACACAGTGAGACCCCATCTCAAAAAACAAAAATCTTATTTTGGGGGGGTTGGGAGTTGAACCCAGAACCTTGGGTCTTCTAGGCAAGCACTCCACCAATGAACTCCCCAGCTCTTAGAGATAATTGTAAATGTCATTCCATTGACTTCCTACTGCATACAACATCAAATTTAAATTCCCTAAGCATACAACATCCTTCATACCCTATCCCCTGCCTGCTGTTAGACTCTCCTCCCGTGGATCGGACTCTTTTTTATCTTTGTATCTTTATGTGTGGTATCTACTCAAACTGACACACCTCACTCAGATGCCACACCTTTCACAAATCTTTCCTGAATTACCACCTTCCCTACACAATTGAACTTTCTTCATCTGTGCCTGTAAGCATCACACCATTTTACAGTTGTTTGATTACACATCACTACCAGAATGTAAGGGCCTTAAAAACAGTTTTATTCATCTGAATAGTCCAAGTGCTAAATTGGTTCTTGACACATAGTAGGTGTCTGTTTTAATATTTGTATAGATTACTTCTGTGCAACCGGGCAGGAACACTTTTTAAAAACTCATTACGGGAAACACTGATTTAAGCTGCAGAGATATGATGGAACTACAGTGCTAATTCTCACTCCAGAGGGCAGTGGGGCACACATTTCATAAGTGCAGCAAGCCTCTGTTGAGTAGCAGCTCTCCTGTGCTCCTGCAGCAGATAAAAGTGCTTGCAGATGTGAGAGCAAGATCTTCAGGCTTTTTTCACTATCAGAGCTTGCAGTCCCCATCTCCAGGAAGGAAAATAGTAAACATTTCATTCCTTTTGTTTCGGTGTTCCGATAATTTCAAGAAATTATCAAACAAGAAAAGAAATCCTGTAGAAGTTGAAAGACACAGACCTAAGCAGATGTTCTTGGAATCTTAAGGTCGCACTTCTCAGGCAGAATGTGTTTGTTAGCTTTACAATGAATAATCTGTTGGCTTTTTTTTTTCCTGAGTAAATTAAAATTCATTTCCTAGGAAATGCCAATCACATTACCTTCCTGCTATTAAGCAGAATGAAACTAATGAAAAGATGGCCAGCCCACAGTAGCCTTAGATTTTTTTTTTTAATGGGTTTCACCCACCATTCCACAGCACTGTATAAAGGTTGAATGGGTATAGTAAGTGGAAGGTGCAGCTGCAAATGAAAGACCCTGGGGAGACTCTAACCTGTCTTGTCTATTGTCTGAGAGACTTGGCCCTTTAGATAATCAAGTCACAAAAGAAATTTGCACTCAAGGTGCCTCCCTTTCTCCTGTAGAGTCACCTCCTATATTCTCACTGGTTGTTGAGGTCTTCTGATGGGAGTTGGGAATTAAGAAAGTAGGGGGTCCTGTTTTTTTTCCCTTCAAAACAAGTTCCCAAAACTGGATTACTATCCACAATATGCCTTGGGATCCTTCCATCCTGCCCCAGTACTAGTCTGTATTATTTCTTCTTTGCTCCACAGTGTCAGATACTTGATCCAGGATAATGGGCTTACTTGTTGATGTACATTAGTATCAAATTTAGTATAGCTTATGATCTATTTGATATCTTTCTGCCTCCCAAAGGAGATTCTTGCTCAAGAATAAAATTCTGATGAGCTTCTCCTAGAAAACAATGTAAATATAAATGTGGCTATAATGACATCTTGACTGACTCCCTCTGGGGTAGAATTCCCAGTAATAACAGATTTAGCATGTGGGCTGATACCTTTTTAGTATCACAGGGACATTATTGTTTAGAGAAAGCCTTGACTCCATTTCAATAGCACGGAGGATGCCAGGAGGAAGGCCAAAGGAAAAGGAAACGGGAGAGCTGTTGGTTTGTCTCACTCTTACATCAGATGACAGGAAGTCGGGATTGAGATTGGCCCAGCAACCTGTTAAGGCCACATCTGTTTGAATAACTTAAAAGCCCTATTGAAACTAAGTACCTTTTAGAGTAAGGAATCCAAGAAAAGGATGAAGAGCAGAGTGGCAAGCAATAGCTTGGAGTGAACATCTTGCCAGGAATAAATTTTCTTCCTTGACAATCTACTTTCTTTACTGATCATACCCCACAGTATAAACTGCATTAAGGTGACTGAAGTTGGTTAATTACCTATGTATAGCTGGATGATTCACAGGGTCTAGCCTGATTCCCCTGCCCTGTGTGAGACTAGTCCTGGTCCCATAATTCCATATAGTTCTGATGTCTAGGACATCAGGGATTGAAACTCTCAAGCACTGAATGGAAGTGCCACTAGCTATAGTTTAGTTTTTGGTATTTCTTACAAGTACAATTTGGGTCTAATGATTAACTACAAAATCTAGGGAAGTCTTCCAGCCCTGTTTTAGTGTGCTTGCTTGTATGAATGTATATGTGTTTGTTACTTTGTTTATCTTTGAGATAGGATAGGCTTTGGCCTTTGGAGTGTGGACATATATTTCTGATCAAGTAACAGTTATTCACAAATACAGTTTCATTGCCAAGAAATTAAAAATAAATAAATTGACACTATTTTTGAGCTTTTCTCCAAAAGAAAAACAAATGATGCTTGTGGGCCAGACAGCTGTTTGTTACATGTGGGTTTTTTGTTTGGTGTTTTTATGTTGGACAGACACATGGGTATGAGAGTTCCTAGTTCCCATTCCAATGAGTCAAACAACTCTGATTGCCAAGTAAACAGCAGTTTGGAGGAAGGCAGGGGCAAGGGCAAGAGATTTATCCCTAAGACACATTATTTCCTACTCTTATCTCTCACTTGAGGCTGAGAGGCCAGCAGAATTCCCAGTGATCTCATAACCTCTTCTTTTTCCACAGATACCACCTCCTCAAACTCCTCCAGAAGTTTGGTAAGGTGAAGCWGTTCGACTTCCTCTTCCACAAGTCAGGTGCTTTGGAGGGACAGCCTCRAGGGTACTGTTTTGTTAACTTTGAAACTAAGCAGGTAATTTTGCTTTCCTCCCCCTTTCCTGGTAATTGCCACACTCCATAATCATTTGTGCATCTCTTGTGTACTAGACCAGCAGTTTCTTGTTGCCTGTGTGCCTTATGGCAAATACTAAAAAAGATGCACAGTTAAGGAATGGCTTGCAAGATCTCCTCTCCCCAGGCTCAAGGTATAAGGCGACCAACCTACTTTATTTAGCAAAGGATTTGGGATACCCACATGGAGTGTGTGGGTATTCCCCCTTCCTATCCTGTTTTGTTTCTTTATTGGCTGGCCAACAAAACCTCCTTTTCTTTCAGAATTTTTGCCCTGTGGTACAGAAACTTTGTAGTGAGCCACCCACAAACTTCATTTTATTTTGATTTCTTAAAAATGTACCCTTCTCAGGGCTGGAATTGTGGCTCAGTGGTAGAGTGCTTGCCTCACACGTGTGAGGCACTGGGTTCAATTCTCAAGATCACATAAAAAGTAAATAAATCTAATAAAGGTATTGTGTCCATCTATATATATCTTCTTATATTTAAATTTAGTTTTTGCAGTAGAAATACATTGATAAGAGATAGAACTGGAATGTTATTAAATGTAAAGATGCGGGGCTGGGGTTGTAGCTCAGCGGTAGAGTGCTCGCCTAGCACGTGTGAGGCCCTGGGTTCGATCCTCAGCACCACATAAAAATAAACAAAATAAATGTAAAAATATATTTATATATATAAAGATGCCACTTGGTATTCTCTATGACTTTGTTATATGTTAGCAACATTGCCTAGTTACTGTTTTATTAATAATAACTTACAGACAGGTGTAATGGCACGTGCCTGTAATCCCACTAGCTGAGAGGCTGAGGCAGGAGCATCATAGTTCAAAGCCAGCCTCAGCAACTTAGCAAGACCCTATCTCTAAAATAAAATATAAAAAAGGCTAAGGATGTGGCTCAGTAGTTAAGTGCCCCTGGGTTCAATCCCGGTACCAAAAAAACAAAGTAATACATGCTTATTTTGGATGAATATAAGAAACCAAAAAATTTTTCAATCCCTAAGCCCAATACACAGAAATCATTTAATATTTAGTGATGTATCTTTCCAGTTTTATTCTGTCTTCACATTCACACACGTACACATATATACAGATAAACAAATAAGATCATATTATTATGTTAGCCCCTCAAAATATATTAAAACTTTTTGTCATCATGTGACTTACAGTGCAAATAAAAGTTAATGACATTTTTTTAATATTTATTTTTTAGTTGTAGTTGGACACAATATCTTTATTTTATTCATATATTTTTATGTGGTGCTAAGGATCTTGCATGTGCAAGGTGAGCACTCTACTGCTGAGCCACAACCTCAGCCCAGCTAATGACATTTTTATGACTGTATATTTCATTATATAACATACGACTGATCCCAAATTCTTAAAATTTTTAAAAACAAATAATCTGAAACATTATTTCAAAGTTCAAGTATTCAATGTCTTAAGCTGCTTAAGTTTTCTCCAGTGTTTGACTAGTGTAAACATCACAATAATGAATATCTTCTTTAACTATATGTGTATATGTAATTATATATTATATGTATGTAATTATATGTATAAATATGTTTTTCACATTTCTGGAAATGGATTGGCACCTCAAAGGTCATGCATATAGGGTTTTTTTATTATTTTATACAGTTATCAAAATGCCTTCTAGAAATGTTGTATCAATATGTTCTGAGACTGTTTGAGGGTGTTATTTGTTCCTGTCAGTCCTGGGTATTTTTTATTTTCTCTAATTTTGTAAATAGTAATAAGTGATATGTTATTCTAATTATTCAAGTTTTTTGAGAGAAGTGAAAGAATACCCATATAGTTAGTATTCTTAAATACTTTATTTTCCTTACTAATAATAGTGTGGTGAGGATTCTTACAGACTCCTAAAATCAGAAGTCATGTTGGGAACAAATGCTGGTTTAAAAACATTGGACTAAAAGTCACAAAACATACCTGTATTTTCAACTCTTTTATTTACTGACTTTGAGCATATGTCTCAACTTCTTTTGGCTTCAATTTTTGTTGAAAAATGTACATTATAATGGGATGTTATGTTACAGAAAGAATAAATTAAAACACAGTTGACATTCAGTGTCATCGAATACTTGAACTTTGAAATAATGTTTTAGATTATTTGTTTTTAAAAACACTTATCCCTTGCTGACATCTTACTATTGCTAATACCTCAGAACTAATAGAATACCATATAAGTTCTAATTTATCAAATGAAATCTAAAAAGGATAATGTGTCTCTTATTTAGCAGTCTGACTTATTATTTTGTAGAGAAACCAGGATGGTCAATTAATATCCAATGCCTGACACACAATGGGTACCAAAAAAAATATTTGTTGAATGCCATGCTGATGAGCTTTGGAGGGACAGAACATAAGACAAATAAGCACTGGTTTTACTGTAAAACCATACTAGAGTGCTTATTTGTCTTATGCTCAGTTTTAGACTCTCCCTGCCCTCTAGGACTTTCTATTCATCTTCTGTTCCTTAAGGACTTCTTTGCCTCCACTAAATTTGGGTTACATTTGGCTCAGTGCCTCATGGACAGAAATAGGGCAAAACAGATGTGTCAGGATGAGAAAGTATAGCCAGGTTTCCTGGGAGTGACCTAGAGTGACTGTTATCCAGCTTCAGGAATTCCTCTCAACCTTGTTGCTCCAATATCTGATGGGGAAAGGGTCAGGGAACTTGTAGCTCTTAAAACCAGGTGCATAGATTGACTCACACAGATACCTTGTTCAGTCTCTTTGACTCAATCCTGCTTTTTCCGGCCTAGTTCCCTTCACTCCCATATCCTTTGAAGCCATTGCTGTTTTTCACTTTGGATCCAGGGAGTAAGTCCTGGTCCAGGATGTAGTTCTATTGTCCATGTAGGGATTAAAATTTCTGGAGGTGTACAGAAAGGTATCACTGAATAAGAACCATGATGTTTGCTAACACTTGTTAATTGCTTACCATATGTTCCACACTTTCTATGCACTCTGAATCCTTACAGCCACCACTGAGGAGCATGTAATAGTATACCATATTTTATAGGTGACAAAGCTAGAGACATTAAGTGACCTGCCAGACATTATACTGCCAACAAGTAACAGCCAGAATTTGAATTTTGTCTTACTTTTTAAAGACTTAAACCTTTTTTTTAACTCTGCCTTTTAAAATTATAAACCCTTTGCCAAGCATTTACCAAAAGTAATTTGGTTAGAAACTCAGCCATCAAAGCTAATAAGGCCCTGTAAGAATACAAAGTGATAAGTAAGCTTTTGAATTTATGACCAACTTTTATCTCTTTTCTGGACAGGAAGCAGAACAAGCCATCCAGTGTCTCAATGGCAAGCTGGCACTGTCTAAGAAGCTGGTGGTACGATGGGCACATGCTCAAGTAAAGGTATGGCTAAGTGGCTAGAAAAACAGTTTCTTGCCTCATCTTCAGGGAGTCTCTGAAAGACAGTTGCCCATGTCTCCATTTGCATCCCAGCCTCTTCGCATCTGGAACAGCCATACTTTGGTCTCCTACTTGTATTTACCATGTGTGTTGCCAGATTTTTCTTTTGAGAAGCATCTCAGTAGGGATTAAGTTCCTTCGTTGTTTCTGTCCACATGCCCACAGATCCTGTTTTTGATTGATTTTTCCATGTGGTTGATGTGTATACTCAGACCTCTATCATTTTTTCAGTGGGGGTTGTTCTTCAGAGGGAAAAAATATATTTATTTTTAAAATTAGTTGCTTTAGGCATTATTAGACTCTTCCCAGCTTCTTGTCTCTATGGAGAGTTTGAATTTGTTTATTCTAAATGCTTGAGAAATGGGTAGTTTCTCTTGAGTGCTTATAGCACTGGCATCTCCTTACTCCAGAGATCTTGAGAATTATTAGAGTGCGAGTTTGTGGGACTTTGCAGTGCCTATATTGTCTCCAACCCTGAGAAGTGGCAAACTGCCCTGTTCATCCTGCAGTTGGTCTCTTGGGAGAAGGCACTAGAAAAGCTGTAGCCATTAAAAAAAAAGAAAAAGAAGATGAATGGTATTCTGTTCCAGCTGGCACAGAGCTGGTGAAGTGTGTGGACTGGAGCAGTCCCAAGAATCAGTTTTCCTTCTGCAGTGTGTCTTGACAGACCTGCCTGCAAAAAAAAATTCTGACAGTCAGAGTTGGGGCTTTGGCTGTTAGCTATATGAGCATAGTTTTCAACCCTACCCAACAAGCTTCCCCGTTAAGAATCATAGAAACTAAACAGACTTTCAAGCACCAAGTCCAAACTGAAAAACAAAAGCTTAGACACTGGATCCTTATGAGCATTTCAGGTAATCACAGAGCCTTCTGAATTTCTAGGACACTTTGCCTTAAAAATAGAAACAAGAAGAATTACCAAATGCTTTTTTATTCAAAAGAAAATCAAGTCTCTTTTGCCAAACTGGCTGTCGTTTTCTTGCTCTGCATCTCATTGAAAAGGCATGCAAGAGAAATCATCCTTCATTCCTGTCTTTCATTTGAAAATCTGTACCTCGTGGTTCTCTTCCTATAAATCTTTGACCAGAGGCTCCTGATTGCTCTCTTAATATTTTATTTACTTCTTACAAGAAATATGTAATTATCTGGCATCAAATTAAATTCCTTTACTATACAATGTTTTCTGTATCAGCAACTGAAAGCTGTTAATATTTTTTTCTTCCACTCAGTCCTGTTGAGTTAAATATTATGCTTGGTACTTTGCAAAAGCTAGCAGGATTTTAAAGTGCTTTGGGTAAAGCAAATATTGTAAGAGGAGATATGTGACAGTTAAAATAAAAATGTAAGAGGGCAACCCTGCTGCTTATTTGCACCATCTGTGAATTCAAACATTGAAATTCTTTTCCTACCAAATAAGGAGGACTAATGGCTAGATGGAAGCTTCTCAACTGTTTTCTAAACTTGCAGCTTTCAGACCAACTTGTATACAGTTTTGCATTAATTCTAGGTAAAGCAGTCCTAAAATTATCTGGAAAATGTTGATGAAAAACTGGGTGGGATTAGCATTTTTGAACCCATGCACTGAAATAAAGGACTGGTTTCTGCTCACATAAAGTAATACCCCTTTTCTTTCAGAGATACGATCATAACAAAAATGACAAGATTCTTCCAATCAGTCTTGAACCTTCCTCAAGCACTGAGCCTACTCAGTCTAACTTAAGGTAAGTCTAACTTAAGGTACCATAGAAGGACACAGTTGTTCAAGAGCCCGAGCTCTCTTTGTTGCACACCTTCACTTACACAGAACATAGTGGATCTTCAGACTCTTAATTTAGAATAGAATCTGCTAACATGATGTGTTGAGAAATGGGTTCAGTTAACCTCTAGAATGTATAAATTCTCCTCTCCGTACATCTCCCCCAAGATTATGTACACCCCATAATCCTGTACTCCCCATTTATAGAATGCACTCACTTTAAAAGGGCAGGTTTAGTTACTACACATCAGCTTGGTACAGTGGCACACACTTTTAATCCCAGCAGTTTTGGTAGCTGAGGCAAGAGCCAGCCTTAGCAATTTAGCAAAACCCTAAGCAACTTAGAAAGCCCTTGTCTCAAAATAAAAAGAGGCCGGGAATGTGGCTCAGTAGTTAAGTGCCCCTGGGTTCAATCCCCAGTACCAAAAAAAAAAAAAAAAAAAAAAAAAAAAAAAAAAAAAAAAAAAAAAAAAAAATTGCTACACACTAAGCCTTGTGCTTAACACTGGAGATGCAAAGATATATCAGACACAGCTCTCACCTTAAAAACAAGCATTTTAGTAAAACCTTGGGTCCCTTTGGCATTTGCCATTATACACTGATTTCCTCACTATCCCTGAGTTCATTTATATGAATTTTCATTTTCAGATATTTAATTCTATGTACCATTCATCAACTATAATAGTTTTGGTTCTAGTTTCTGTGAATTGTCAGTTATTTCTTTGGAGCTAATTCAAAACAGGGACACTAAGGGTTGGGTAGAGAAAGGGGAAGGTAAATGGGTAGTAGAACAGAAGTAGAAGTTGGGCTTTTTGTTTTGTTTTCTTTCTCCCCCTCTTTTTTTTTTTCCCACATTGTAGCCTACGAGAAATTTTTAGTAATAATACCCAGGATTTAACAACCTTACTATGAAGCAAGCACTGTGCTGAACACTTTATATGCAGTATGTCATTTAAGTATAATAAAAATCACTTTATATATGAAAAAATTGAAGTTTAGAGAAGTGAAATATCTTGGCCATTATGTAAGTAGCAAATAGCAGAGTTAGAATTCAAAGCAAGATCTAACAGACTTGAGAATTTAGTCTTTATATTGGATGTGATGGCACATGCTTGTAATTCCAGCGAGTTGGGAGGCTGAAGTTGGGAGGCTGAAGTAGGAGGATCAGAATTTCAAGACCAGCCTCAGCAATTTAGTCAGACCCTGTCTCAAAATTAAATAAAAAGGGCTAGGGATGTAGCTCAGTGGTAAAGCACTCCTGAATTTAATCCCTAGTCCAAAATATATATATATATATATATATTATATATATATAATCAGTCCTTTAGTTATTACTTCAGGGTCGCTCCAGACAGTAAATGTAGGAATATAGATCTAAAGATTTTTCCAGGGCAGGGGAAGAAGATATGTGAGGGAACATAAGTACATAAGGATCAGAAGTTAATAGTCATAAAGTTAGGAAAGTGATATCTATTTGGATGAAAGACCAAACAGGAGAGGAAAATGCCTTTCTCATATATTATCTCCACCAAACTAAACTGAAGGGGGATTGATCCTGGAATATTTTCAGGAATGATAAACTGGTAAATTGAAATTAATTTTATATTTATTTATATAAGTTTAATGTCATGATTTTTCTTTATTTTATATTGCCTTTATTATTCTGTGCTTCTGGAAATTTTAAAAAATAAAGGTTTTACAAAACATTTATGGATTTTTCTAGATTCACTGGGAGTTTATATCCACTATACTCTTCTCCCCATAAGATCTGAACCTCCTCAATCACAGGTCAATCTCCATGGAGGTTATCATAAATCTTACTGCATGAGTGACTGGACTCATTTTTTAATATCTCCATGTTACAATGAACATGTGTTTAGCTTCTTATGACCAGTATTCGCTACTTATTTACCAGATAGCCTAGTGTTTTCCATCTCTGTTTTAATCCAAAGAATCTCAACTTACATTTTTCTGCTAACATCTAAGCCTAACTAGAGAAGGTTTTTTTTTTAAACAGAACGAAGGGCTGTCACTTTAATAGAAGTGGAGCCAAAATGCATCCCGGTAATACCTCAATACTCTTTTTATTGTAACTTGAGGGTTTCTTTTAAATTTTCTAATTGACACATAAAATTGCACATTTATGAGGTGCTATGTGATGTTCAACACGTGTATATTGTGTAATATTCAAGTCAGGATAAACATATGTTTAAACATTTAATTGTTTCTTTATGAGAACTTAGTTTTAAATTTCTTGCCTCTGAAAATTTATGGATATGTATAGCAGATGTATACCTATTGAGGATCCCTAGAAGACCATATATACACTGCTTCCAAATTTCTCTCACTACAATAGACCATTGCCAGCATCAAGAATGGAAAATAAAGGAATCCATGAGCCAAAAAATTCCCATTGTCTGAGTGCTTTCTTGTGTGGAGTTAGCAGTGACCTCAGTCAGAAACAGATTCCTCACAACTTCACAGCCTCTCCTTTCTATGTAATACAAAGTTGCTGGATTCCCACTTTGGTGGAGAGGAAAGAGCGAAGACATTGGTGATGAACTGGGGTTGAATTGTAGCTCTGCAGTTTGTAAACTGTGTGAAACTTGAACATATTTCTGCTCGTGCAATTACTTATTCACCCATAAAATATGAATGGTAAACCTTATAGGCTTATTATACGGATTAGAAACAACATAAATAAAATGCTGGATACTATGCCTGGTTCATTGTAAATAAAACATATCTGTTAATAAAGGGAGACTTCATAGGATCTCCAGAATATTTTTTTCCATTATTATTCAGTGATTCAAAAGGTGGTGCAGTGTGATGGTTAATAGCATAGGCTATGAAATCACTTTGTTTTCAAATCTCAGTTCAATCATTTACTATTTAACATTGGTCAAATTAACCTCCCTCTGTCTCACTTTCTTATTGAAAATAAAGACTATAAACTGATGCCATGTTTTAATCCTCCTTGAGCACCTACTCTGCTAAGCACTAAGGTGCAGAATAGCATCTGTGAAGAATTAAAGAATTAAATATAACAACATATGAAGTTAAGAATGTCTAGGCCTGGGGCTGAGGGGGTAGCCTAGCGGTAGATTGCATGTTCAGCAAGAATGTCTAGGCCTGTATTAAAAATTTAATCATGCTTCAGAGTTGATTTTTTTCCTTAAAATGACAGGGTTTTGTTTTTGTTTTGTTTTTTACCTCTTTCTCTCTTTTATATGAAATGTTTAAGTGTTTGTAATTAAATATCTCTTTGCTTCTAAAGAGGCACAAGGAGATGAAATATACAAGTACGTTCTGAAAGAACATAGGCCCATTCTGATCCTTTGCTGTTTTTCAGTGTCACTGCAAAGATTAAAGCCATTGAAGCAAAGCTGAAAATGATGGCAGAAAATCCTGATGCGGAGTATCCAGCAGCACCTGTTTATTCCTACTTTAAGCCACCAGATAAAAAAAGGACTACTCCTTATTCTAGAACAGCTTGGAAATCTCGAAGATGATGGTTGTGAATTACTGTGGCAGCAAAAGCAAATTGGTCTCCACACCTGACTCCTCTGCCTTGGTACTTTGTAGATGTGGATGGTACTATCCAACAGAGCACAATCACATGTTAGAGTTTGATAACATAACATTTTGGATGTTCTTATGGATGTGTCTTCCCTGAACTATGTATAGAATTGAGCATCATCCAGAATAAATAGGATTGTGTCCAAAATTTTGATTTGAACACTGGGATGCTCTAGTTGGCTGGTTTGTTTGGATTCATAACTACAGAAACATTATATAGTATGCCAGAGAGAAAGTCAAACATACAAAATGTTATTATTTAATCAGGAAACTAAATTTATTAACCTCTGTCAAAAGAACATTTTTCTGTGCACATGTCTTTACAACATAAAGAAAAAGTTAAGAGACAGGGAGGAAAGTAAGACTTTTAAATCATGTTTAGAACTGCTGTTCAATAATTTATGATGGAAATTCCTCCAACTAAATTAAAAAAGAAAGTTCTTGGCAAAAGGGAGCTTGTCCTTTGAGCAAACATTGTAGTAATCTGCTTAAGAATTATGCTTATTGTTTCAAAATCCCAATTAGGAAAATGCGGTGTAGATCTTAAAATTGTTTGCATCAATGGACTATAGAATCAAATTTAGCATTTTATACCACAATGAAAGTTTTGTTTGGAAATCTAATTTTTATTCTATAGTAATCATTTTTTTAAATCCAAATAATCTTGCCTCTTATAATACCAAATGTTGTTATTAACACAGGAATTTTAAAATTGCACTTATTGCATGAGATTGTTTTTAAAGCATGAGATTGTTCTATTTGGAATTGTATCATGATCAATCTGAATAGAAAGCAAAATTTTTTGGAAAATTTAAACATTGCTATGTTGGTCATTATCAAATATGTTATTTTCTGATAATCATGTAGACGTCTGAGTAGAAGAGGTCAAATGATCTTGGGCAGAAAGTCAGTGGAGCAGGCACCATTCTGGCACCAAGATTTCAAACACCTCATGTTTTATGTAGTTTTAAAAAACTGCATGACTTGAAAGTGATCCTTCATTTATGGAACATACTTTACCCTAGATATTTTTTCCATTTTGAACATTCAAAACATAACAACTTAGATAGATATATAAACTGACAGATTTGAGATTTGTTCCTTCACAGTTGTGGTCATTTTGGTGCCACACTTGACCGACTATTTCACTGGGCAGCACTGTTGCTTCTTTACTAGGTAAATCACTTTGTTACTTACTCTAGGTGCCATTCATGATGATTACAGACTGTTTTCCACCATCATTCCTAGCAAGAGGAAGCTTTCATTATGGGAATTTAAGTCTTCCTTGAGTTTAAATGAATTTAAGATATTGAAATCAAAACTTTAGTGCAGTGAAGTTTCAGAATCCACAGAACTGATTCAGAGAAATTCTTATCACTTTACCCAAGGTCAGTGTTTTTAGATATCTTTAGATAGCAAATAATTTCTGCATTTATTAGCTATGTTATCTATGATGCAAGTAATTCTCTTTCCAGTTGAGGGTTATAGTTCAGGGAGGTGGGTAAACTATCTCCCATCTTTCTGGTGACTTCTTGGAGTATAGAATTCACCACTTATCCTTACGTCCTCAAAGGGTTATGGTGGAGTAGAACTTAATGCAAATAGCCTTCTATTTTTAATAGGAATTTAGAAAATACTTAACTTAGAATTATATAGAATTGTTTTCTTTAGAAACCAGAACTATTTATTTGTATTTAAAGCACTGTTTATTATTTGTACCGATTCTTACCCTTGCGTGTGAATAAATGCTAGACAGTGACTGTGTGGTTGTGTCTTCTCTGGTCCATTTATTGGAATGAAGACTGCAGCTCTCTAGTAGGCTTATTTCCACTCAGGGGGTCCAGGTGGAGTTCTGCTTCCAAGTGTCTTCTCTGCAGAGGGCTCCAGTTGGAGAATTCACCTGAGAGGCGTGAATTCACCCTTTTGCCTACCTTCCTCTATTGTTAGCGATAAGAAAAGGTACTAGCTATTCTCATTGCAAATGTGACTATTTGAACTTACAGTTCATACCTTAGTGAGTCTCCCTCTCAAAATAGAAGTTTCAGAAGAAATATGTGTATCATAAATATGCTGAAAGAAGTCTCATGAAAGGCTTGTAAAATACAAGTGTTAACTTGGTCTACTATTAAGAGGTAACCTGTACTTTAAGTAAAATTATTCTTTGGTTTACTCTTGCTAAAATCATGTCACTTATCATTTTATTTATATAAGAGTGAAGAACTGAAGAAAATATTCAGGAAAGAATTATGAACTGTCTTCTTAATTTCAGCTCCTATTTTATCAAATGCAAAATGTGACTTTCTGTGGTTAGCATCTCAGTAATGGGAGAAAGGATCAAATGAAGAGCAATTTTTTTTTCCAAAATATGCTTTAAATCATTTGCCCCAGTTTTATGAATCTAGATATTCCACAACCCTGTCCCTTGTCTATTAAGATGTGCAGTTAATTTTCAAATAAGCCAATATATCTGTGGATTTTTCTACTGTATAAAAGAACAAGATCTCTTCTTCTTGCCTTATAAGTTAAATGTTACCCAGCTACAATGGCACACACCTATAATCCCAACAGATCAGAAGCTGAGGCAAGAGGATCACAATTTCAAAGCCAGCCTCAGCAACTTAGCGAGACCCTGAGCATCTCAGTAAGACCCGGTCTCTAAATAAATATAAAAAAAGCTGAGGATGTGGTTCAGTGGTGAAGTGCCCCTGGGTTCAATCCTCAGTACCAAAAAGTTAAGTTAAATATTAACCGTTTCCTGTGTGTAATCATTATGTTCCTAAAATACCATTTGATCCCATCTTATTTATCCTTGATTTCTCTTTCTCTCCTGCCTCTATCCAGTCCTTGGATAAGTCCTGTCAATTATCCAAAATACATCTTGAGTCCAACTACATCTCAACAAGTCCCACAGTACCATTTTTGTTCAAGCCACTGTCATCTCTTTCCTGAACTGTTGTAATATCTTCCTAATTATCTCCCTGCCTCAACTGTTGCCCCCTATAGCCAGTTTTCCACACAGTAACTGGAGCAATCCTTTTAAATTATTTTGAAACAATTTCTCAAGCCATGCTTGGTGGTACATGTCTGTGGTCCCAACTACTCAAGAGACTGAACCAGGAGATTTAATTCAGCCTGGCAGTTCATAACCAACCCGGGCTTTCCATCACACCTACAATAAAATCCAAAGAACTATAAGTTTTTAAATGACAAAAGTCATTATAGTTGTACATATTGATGGGATTTGTTGTTGCATATATGTGCATGCACATAATACATAATAATATATAATTTGGCTAATATCACTCGCCAGCACTTCCCACCTCCCATTTTTTGGTCCTTTTCCTCTTTTGATCTCCCTTTGATTTTGAGAAGATCCACCCCCACCCATTTTCCTTTTTCCTCTCTGGCTTCGGCATATGAGAGAAAGTATAACCCTTAAACCGAGTTTGACTTATTTTGCTTAATATGATGGTCTCTAGGTCCATCCATTTTCATGCAAATGACATAATTTTATTTTTCTTTATGGCTGAATAAAACTCTATTGTGTGTATACACCACATTTTCTTTATCCATTCATCTGTTGAAGGATACCTACACTGGTTCCATAGTTTGTCTATTGTGAATTGTGCTGCTATAAACATTGGTATGCATGAATCACTAGTAAGATGACTTTAATTCTTTAGGATAAATACCCAGAAGTGATATAGCTGGGTCATATGGTAGTTCCATGCATAGTCTTTTGACATTGATTTCCTCAATGTCAAAACCTCCACATTGATTTCCATAACAATTATACTAATTTGCAGTCCCACCAACAGTGTCCTTCACATCCTCTCCAGCATTTATCATTATTATTTGTATTTTTAATGACTACCATTCTGACTGGTATAAGATGATATCTCAGATTTGCCATTTCCCTAACTGCTAGCAATAGTGAACATTTTTTCATATATTTGAGAAATGTTTACTTAATTCATTTGCCTATTTATTAATTGGGTTACTTGATTTTTTTGGTGTAAAGTTTTTTGAGCTCTATATATTCTTGATATTAATCCTCTGTCAAAAGAGTAGCTAGCAAAGATTTTCTCCCATTCTGTGGGTTCTCTCTTCACATTTCTAATTGTTTCCTTTGCTGTGCAATTTTTTAATTTGATGTTGTCCCATTTACTAACTCTTGGCATTATTTCCTGAACTTAGGTGTCCACTTAAGAAAGCAATGACTTGTTGTTGACTACTTGTCTGACCCTGCTGCCTCCATTTCTCCCCTTGCTCACTGTGCTGCTGCCATACTGGCCTCCGTGCTGTTCCATAGCACAAGGGAGCACCTACCTCAGTTCCTTGACATCAGCAGTTCTCTGATTGCCTGGAATACTCTTGCCACAAGGCCACAGAACAGAGCCCACGCCTTCATTTGACTCATGTCTGCTCAAATGTCAGTGATTAAGTGGTTGTGTTTGGCCTCCCTCCTAAAAGTACAGTCCCGTCACTTTTCATCATTTTCTAATGAACTTATCACTACCCAACATGATATATAAATCAATTTTGTCTCTTCACTAGTTGAATGTAAGCAGGAACTCTTACTTCTGCTGTATCACCAGAATTTAAAATAGGGCCTGGCATGTAATACCTGCTCAGTAAATATATATTGAATAAAATATCAGAATCTTGGTATTTGAGAATTGAAGGGTCTTGTGAAACCATTCCATGTCACCCCTTCAGTGTCCATATGGAAAAAATAGAAACCTAGAAACAAAGTGATTTGACCAAGACCACATAGTTAATGGGTGCTATGGTTTGAGTGTATCCCTAAAGGGTTCATGTGTTGAACTTTAATCCCCATTATGAAGTATTACAAGAATGGCAGTTTACTCTAAGCCAACACCATAACGTTTAACGGTGGGGCCCTTGGGAGGTGATGAGGATTGCACAGGGTAGTCAGAGAGATGTACTCATGATTACAAACTGGTAACTGTGAGAGGAAGAGAGACCAGAGCACACACACACACCTACTCCCCATCTTGCCATGTGATACTATCTTCTCAAAACAGCCACCAAAAAGATGATGGAATGAGACAGACGTTACCCTACATACACGAACGAAAATACAAATGGTGTGACTCTTGTGTACAACCAGAGACATGAAAAATTATGCTGTATTTCTGTAATATGATTTGAATTGCATTCTGCTGTCATATATATAACAAATTAGAATAAATAAAATTTTAAAAAACCTCATCCAGCAAGAAGGCCATCACTAGATGTGACCCCCCTCAACCTTGGATGGACCTCCAGAACCATGAGCCAAAATAAACCTCTTTTCTTTATAAAATAGCTTGCCACAGGCATTCCATTTAGTAATACAAAATGGACTAATATAATGGGACAGCTTTAGGTAGAACCCAGACCTACAAACACGCAT